GAATTATGACTGTACAATAAAACCGTACAGTTCAATTATATTCATACCTATAAATTATTTCCCAAAATAAAATTAGCAATATTTGCCTCAATTATTTTATGCACATTTAATTTATACGTTAACACAATAATAGTGAAATGTTCCTTAACAAATATTCTTATGCTATTTAAACGGGATAATTCGATAATTTCACGCATGTGCGGCATATAGAAACATCAACAGAAATCATAAAAAGTTCCATTAAAGATATACCATGCTCAAAATTGATATTTGAAAATATTGAAAATTGCTGCATAGTATATTTGTTAGTATAAAATACAACATATTTTGGCTTCACATTAAGTAGTTATGTTATGTTTTAACTGTACACACTATAGGTGGTCACTATATGAATATATATAGTGTAATTAACAAACTGGCGTGTGTGTTTTTTTTAAATGATAAACTTTACTTGACCTGCAGTTGGGAATGCTGCTTCACATACCGTCAGCTTAGTACAATAACTGACTAAGTGATTTTAAATTAAGAAGAATTCCGTTATTGCACTAAGGCGACGATACATAGTTTTCATATTCTTTTATTCAAATTAGACATTTTCAATAAGAATTTTATAGATTTGAATTAATTTTTGTGATAATGATATTTAACTTAACGATGGGCACAGTATATATTTAAGGTACTTTTTTAAGTATGCTTCTCCACACGACCAAATATTTTTTTCATTGGATACAAACATCCAATATAGACAGTCCAATATATCTTTCACAAACAGTGAATTAAATACTTTACTTTGAAAATATCTTTCTTGCGTAATATCAATGGTCCGCAAGCTCTTTTACCTGAAGACACCCATTTTCTTTTCCTCTGCTGCATTTCTTAGCATCAAACAAAATTGATACGGCGAATGTTTACTTATACAACTATTAGCTATATAGCTTTCAAATACATGTTAAGTAAACATATGTCACGTATTTCAATTAAGCACAAGTTACCATGTTTCCGTAACATTGTCAATACAGTGTCACATTGACAAACCGTTGACAAAGACCACCATCTAGATGATGTCGTTGACATGCAATATCTCTCGTACTTACTTAAAATAAAATCTATGCATATGCTTTGATTTACATAAAAGACAGAATCATCTTCAAAATGATTTTAAATAACATCATTTTTTTTATTTTGAGTTTGCATAAAAAGAATGAATGGATGTTCAGAAATATCCGGCTTTTGTCTTGCATATGATCCACATATGATATTTGTCAAGGATTTACATAAAAAGAATGAATGGACACATTTTTTAAACAGCTCTTGACGTAGAATGAATGAGTCATGTTATTTATTCATGTAATATTATAGAATTACCACATCAATTTTTATCATGTTAATATACTTTTACATAATAATTGAATTAAAACATTATGTTTGACTTTTAAATTATCAGAATATCAAACGCAAAAGGAATTACGTTTCCTTTTCCTGAAACCATCTTATGTCTTACTGGTCATTCTAGGCAACAGTCATTTTAAGCAACATTTTAATACAAACATTTACATGGAAGAATTTTACATTTTAAAGAAAAGGTAGTAAATAATATTAAAAATCACACAGCGCATATTCTAGCGTTTCAGTTTGGAATATAAAGATTTAAATAGGTTTTTTTTCTAATTCAATCTTGTTTTGTTTATATCATTTCAATTATATATTCAATAGATTGATAATTACATTTTTCCCCCAAAATTTTCATCTCTCATACAATTTGAGAACAAGCATTTTATTCTATTGAATAATTAACATGAAAAGATGGAAATGTAAATTTACCATTTATGTATGTCAAACTGTATTTTACATAATGTTAGCTCTATGAACAAGCCAACCTTAATTAGATTTTTGGATTACTTGAATAACAAAATAACGATAATAGAATAATTGGAAAAAAAATCGATGATTTTGTCAATGAACACAATGATAAAATTTCAGCAGTTATCAATAAAGTGAATTTTACTTTTGACTGCTGCCTGCTATAATATCATTAAAACATACGGAGACACACGGAGTGTCACCGTACAATAAAACTTGATTAATGTCCTATCTATTTAACAATTCGCATCCGTTTTTTGTATGTTTAATGATACAATGACACGATGAAGATGTGTCGTTTATAATTCAGAAATTTGTACAAAAAACTATAAACGTGTTCCATGGTGATTAAACTATTGATTTGTTGTTATTTAAGACAGTTTCGTCCAATCAGCAACAGGATAGCAAACGACGAGTGTCTGAGTCATGTGCCATGATAGGTCAACATTTCGCCAAAACATTTTTGCGAACAACTTCAAAGAACGTTTAGTGAAATTCGGACACAAAAATAAAATATCGCGGGGTAAAAATAAGTTCTTTTGTTTGCATTTATGACACCTGTTCCATGTTGGAGGCTGTTTAGTCAGTGTAAAGCAAAAAACCTTATACAAAAAGATAAATCCCTTAATGCGTTAATTAAACATGTAGCAAGTTTTTTCTTCAACTTATCACACAGCGATGCATAAAGTAAATTACCATCTAATGTCTTAATGTATTGTACAGGTTATATCCAATCTAAGTAGACAGTTGGGTCTTACAGCATGCTTTCTCATTTCCGTTAGTTACCACGATCTGCAAAAAACAGAAGATGAAAGATATATAATTCATCTATGTCAAATCGATTAGTTTAGCCAACCAAGTCAACTGTTGGATTCAGCAACTAAAATAAAAGCTAGAAACACACACAATATAAAATAACTTTAAAAATGTTAGGGTTTTAGTCGATGTTTATGTTACAGTTAATCCTTGAAATATTTTTTGTTCTTCAAGCGCACAACAAAAATATTGTTCTTGTTGTTAATGAAATATAATTGGATGTTTTTTATGATATCAAATGTGAACTTCCAAAGACAATAAGAGTGGACTCTTTCTACATATAATTGCTTCATAATTGAGCAAACATCCGTGCAAATTCTTATAATTCAATTACAAATCGAGTGAAGACTATTTATTATTACACGGTCGTCTAATGCGGTAACATGCAGAATTTCGATATTAATTAAATTGGTCATTTTAAATACGAGAACCAAAAAACAAGGCAAGGTGACGTTCACTTGACCAAGGTACCGAGCAAAGGCGTCACAAGTATGGGCGAACCAGTTTCTGACAGCATTAAACCCATTAATTTAAAAACTAAATTAAAAATACAAAAACATTTTTAAAAGCTGGTTTTTTAACAAGGGAACGAAATAAATTTTCAGATTTTATACCATTTTGGATAAAATTATATTAACACTTGTGTGCAAAATTTTGGGGCTTTCGCTTACCTGTTTAAATTATTCGTTGTGAATTGACCTAATTTAAACAATGTAAATAAAATAAAAAAATGGTTATTATTCTTTTTTTTTAATTTTTATTTTTAAAATTTTGGCCCCCAGTTGATCAGAGACTTTTTGACCTCAATGGAGCTCCTTCAAAATTATAACATATGTAACAACTTTCTTTATTTCGAACGGACAAATGATTTTCTCACAGATGGTTAAAAAGATATGCAAACGTCATTCGTTCATCAAACAGGGATAAGAAAGTCAATTTGTTTATCGGTAACTGACCCTTTAACATAGTGTTAACATCTAGCTGTTCTACTAATTGGTAACTTTAATCACTGTCAATTTTGTTTATCTAGTAAGTAACTGACAGGGTGTTTAATTGTCATGGCAAAGCGACGGTTACAGTAGAGAATGAATATAATTTTCATGAAAACATTTTGTGCACTATTTTTGTTCTTGATATGAATGTGCGCGTCGTTTTTGTATGACACGTAAAATGCATCAACACATGTATAAACAAGAGGTATAAGTATGTAGACTTCAAAATAATGAGTTTTTATCGTGTTTACCGTGACTAATTAAAGACATTATAGAACTTATACCATACCTTTGTTACAGGCTATTTTTTGCACTTAAATTGCATTTGTATGAAATACTTTCTCTACAAAACAGAAACATTTAAATACACAAAAACTAAAAATCAAACAATTTCGTACGATTTTCTTTCTTACTGTTCATATTTTGGTTATTATTAGTTTAAATATAATGCCGAGAAACTGTCGTCTGCTTTAAATATCGTCTGCTTAATTTTTTAATTACATTACTTTTTATTTTTCAAAATCCAAAATAAAGGCTGTGTGTGAAATAGTTTGGTGCCTGGCACAAGATAATTAGGTAGTCAGCGATTGGTCTGGTACCAGGCTTTTTTGTAAAGAGTATTACGAACGCTCTCGACAAACACAGGGTTTAAATAATATCTATCAATATCTATTCGCTGATTGCACAGTGTCACAATGTTACTATTTTAACCACAATTGTTAGGTTATTTCTAGCAAAATGTAAGCAAAGAAAGTTTTATAAGATATTGTTCACAATTGCCACAAAAAGAACAAACAATAACAAAAACCAAACCAAAATATTCGTGTAAAATATGTGCAACCGTTGTTTTGTAATACTAATCTTTTGTACTAAACACTTAAATATTTCTCAAACTCATATGATAATGCTGGTACGTGAATTATTTTGTAATAGAATCAAGATCATGCCATTTAACCTATGCTATACAGGTCTTCTGTGATAATACTTTTTAACGCCAGGTTATCATAATTGCTATTTTTTGCAAAAAGAAAATAAAAAAAATAAAACGCTTTCCATTATTTGAATTGCAGCACTTACAGACTTTTACCTATTTGGATTAGATACATGTCCTAACCTCAAAGCTACCATTCATCAAAGTCATTATTTGTTCTTGCAATAAATGCTTTAAAAGTAAGTAAACCATATAATAAAAATATGAATAGTATGTTTTAAATAATGTATTCAATGGGGCGTGTGAAAGTGAATAAGTATCGTCTGCCATATATATTAAAGAGCAGATTGACAATCGTCAGTCGTTAATGGGTCGCATTGTCGTAAAACGATGTCGTAATTCTGTCTAAAGTGCATTTGATTTATGAACAGTACCTCAGCTGAGCACCGTTCAAAAACAAGCCATTTTCTGTTCTTGTTTCAGAATACGCCTGGACACAGTACGCGCCGGAGTAGCGGCTTGGAGGTGTGAATTAAGACCTTATATGGAATAAAACTTTTCATACTTGTTTAAGAGATTGGAAAAGTTAAATATGAAACTTCTTATACTGATTTTAGCTGTTTATCAACACAGTACAGTTTGTAAGTATTGTTTATTATATTTATTATATAGCTTTTATTCATTCTTTATACTCGAAATGGTGAAACAATGTGTGTTTTTGTACGTGTTTGCCATATATTTTATCGTTTTATAGAAACACGTTTAGATAAAACGATATTGGTTTATGATCTTTTTATCATATTTGCCATATTTGTTACATTTATTATTGTTGTAATATTTAAGAAATTTTCTGGCTATAACTTTTTATCGCCATATATTTTGATAATATTAGATGTTTTGTTTTAAAATATATTTTTAGCTTAATAAACCGTTCAATTACAAATAAACATTTGATAAAATAGCCAATGCTATAATTACCCTTTTCAGACATTCATACATGTATAATAAGTTTATATAAAATAATTCAGATTTTAAAACATTAAAAAATGTCTATTTTAATTTTAAGCATATTTTTCATGGAAATTCTTTTACTACTTTATATATATTTATCAATTAAAAGTAAGTAAGGTAGGATAATCAGGCAAAACTAAATGGACATATTATTTCTGTTTTTAACGACATGTTTTACTTTTATTCGGCATGTTTAGAAATTGTTTTGTACTATTAATCGACTAGAAAACAATTTTGGTAGCAGATACTATAATAATATTATTATATAAATGTCACAAAAAAGAACGATTTATCAATCTAAATGGGTATTAATTATTTGCCCGTCTCATAAACGTAAAGAAAAAAGTCGTTTTCTTTTTTTCTTAACTTGAGTTAACATTCATTTTCAACTTCTCGCAGTATGTTTTTAATTTAAGTTTTACTCACTAACTAATAGTCAAATGCCAAAATGTCCCGACCTTTGGTTTAGTGTACATTAACCAAAGGTGAGAAAGCGTTTCATAACGCCTATAAATTAGAAAAGGTTTCACGACATTAATTGGAGACATTTAAGAGTGAAGTCTAAATTTAAAACATGGTGATGCACTGTCACACCGTCAGCACATTTAAATAGACCTTTTTTAATGATGATAATATAAAATCAATTTACAAGTACTCAGTAACTGACGTGTGACACTAAGGACCACAGTGAACTCCTTGATCGTCTCCGTAAGTTAAAAAAAAATATTCAGACCATAATTTGTCAAAAATGCTGAGACGAAATATGGCGACTTTTTATCAAAAATTTCGCCCTACTTTTACACAGTTTTAGGCATTTAGTGCATTTAAGTCTGTAGCTATTATACTTATTGTTATATGAAAAGATATCAATTTGTACAACAGAAACTGTTCGTGACCTTTAACTTACACAAACTAAGCTGAAAATGTTTCCTTATCAAGCATTTTAACTGACATGTGGTTAAAGTTTACAAAAAAATCAGTTAATGGCATTGTTACACTGTGTGGGCAGAGTATTGCATGCATATCAAATACCCTAATATGTGACAAGTCATGCTTTTAGTTTGACTGTTTAACTATTCGTCACCTTTCCCTTTTTTTCGAGAAAAACATATATTTTTAACTAAAATGTTGGACAACCAGACTTACTTTAGTTTGACACTCTTGACGAATATCTCCAAGGTCAGAGATTAAAGCAATATTTAAAACACTTTTCGTCTATAAAAAAACAGTAATTATGTATTTTGTTACATAAAACGATTGATCAAGACGAAAAAGGTGAAACCACTTAAACAAATGCATTTCGTTTACACATTGCAAGAATGTTACCTTAAAAGTGGTCATGAAACATTTTTTACAGAGAAATAAAAATGTCATGCGCAAAAAGAATGCCATGCATTTAGCCTTTTTTACTTCCCAAATATGCAAAACAAATCTGATTGGCAGATAGTAATAATATCGCCCATACGAGTATATCAGGTCAAACGTTTTTTAATACAAGTATCAAATGCAAAAATGTAAAGATCTATGGTAAATGCTTTTGTATTGACAGCTGCCTTTAACGGGAATTTTTGCCTTTAACGGGAATTTTTGAGAGAAAAAAAGGTTATACATTGAACATTATTTATCGGTTTAAGCAAAAAAAAAAGCTTAGAAAATGTGTCAAATCTAAAAACAGGTGCTCTACATGTAGTTATGTCACATTTTACAAACTGATTAATTTATTCAAAAAGAAAAAAAAATCTAACATAATTTTATTACGACCTTAATGACAACTATTTTTCTTTCAAGTTTTTTTCTGATTTATCGAAAAGACAACAAATAGTTTGTGCTGTGAACCGAACAATATGAAATGTATTAAAGTCGGCATTAAATATTGGGCGTTGATAAGGCGTTCACGCTGACATCTGGCTTTTTTTAGTTATTTCTGTTTCGAATACTTTTTCTGCCTGCCGCACACTGATAACTCGCAATCAAGGTACGTTTCCGTGTAGATGTTACATTAATTTTCAAGTTCAGCTTTGATGTTCATGATATGAATGCAAATTTTGTATCTTTTGCAACGAACTATTCTATTACTCATTATTCATTTATCGAACTTGCATAATTATAAACAATTTAAATAATGCACTCTTCAAGATGCAATTATGCGATTCAGTGTCTTAATCATAAACCAGTATATCACCATTTGCGGTAAGCCAACATGCATAAGTCGTGACAAAGTCATTAGGATACCTATTGTACGCATCGTAATTATTCTAAAACTAAAATAGAGTTTAGCAAAGATTTTAAGATATACGTGCATTGGACTGGTTAGAATGACGAATGTAAAACATATAAAGGTATTTGTTGACAAACTGTAACATTGTCATTATTTTATGGTCTGCGGAGCGCTAAACAGCAAATAATTAGCTTTTCGTCAATTGTTTTCAGCGGCAACTGTTGTTATGACAAAACCTTGTTCTTACTCACTGAATACTTACCAAAGCTATCACAGAGGCCCATTCAGTAGATCGCCTGAAAAATCACGAGCAGGTTAATGAACGCACTTGTGAATAAATCATGGCTTTGTCACTGAAAGCACCTTTTGAGCAAAAAGTGTGTCGCGTTAAAACAATCTAGCTTATCTAAGATATACATTTATACATACATTTTTTAATATATTTAGAGCTTGACAAATGTATTCTGTCAAAAGGTGTCTAAACCTCTTTCTACAAAAGCGAAAGATATGTTAATTTTGTAACAGGTTTTCTTGGGTCAGTAAGTCTTCAAATTAAGGAAACAGACCAGCAACTTGTAACAAATTGCACTCTTGTTTTCTTTTTGTTATATAAGCGTGTTTAGTAATGATGAATATATACATTAATCATCGTAATTAAAAGAGTTCTTTGGAAAAAAAACTTACAATTCTTTAATATTCGATATGTGTCAACTTATTCTAGGCCACGTTTTTTCGACATTTTTAGCAAATATTATATAAGCATATTGCTAAGTGGTTGATTAGAAATTTACATATTTACTAAATACTATTTGACAGCAACTGTCAGGATTGTGTCAACATACTTATTGTATACCCCAATACACAACGCAAAGATGAAAGGCGTTGTCTGCTGACGTAACAGTCCGTTCGTCCGTCGACGTAATTGTTTTAGACGTTAACAGCCTGACGTCTGACCTCACCACTTGTGTCATACAGTATCGGCATCTTTTATCTTACATATTAATTACATGTTCTTTTAAAAGATGATTAATATTTCATAATAATGACATGTGTTATCTTGACAGTTGGCTTGTAAGTGGTCAAATTGACTGTTATCATATTTTAAATATAATTGAACAAGTGTGGATATCCTTATACCCTTTCATAATCTATATTATACTTTATAACTAACTTTTAATAAGGCAAATTCCTTGTATTTTTGTAAAAAATACATATTTCATGAATTTACAACAGCCGAATATATAGGTTACATAACCATCATTATTATCCAATGACAAAATACGTAAAAATATTATAATAAAAAATATTCCATTGGCTTAATTGAAGGAGTACAAAATGAAATTACACTTTTACTTATACAAGTAGTATTTTTGGTCAGAATTTATCAACAAACCCTTATAAGGTATTTTATTGTTTATGGAATAGATTAAATAGTCATTATGTTAAAGTGCTTGCGTCTTTGTAACGTCGTTTTCTGTTAGTCAATAATTAATAAGAGTATTATCTATATATACCGCTGCTGAAAATTCATAAATCATATTTTAATGAAAGAAAATAATTACAAAGAAGTTTGAATTCGCCGAAGATTTGAGGATTTGTTACAGGTATATGGTCGTGTATAAACCATTGTTTTACATATATCCCCTTGCTGTGCAACTTTGGTTATATATCCTCACAACCGTCTTATTTAAATGGGTCATATAACCTGTCAATGTCTTTATATATATAATATCTTAATATCTAAAGCAGAATTTATTAGTTATCTAAAATATCAAATATTCCTTAAATGGCATTAAGCTGTGTGCATTTTTGATCTTTTCCGAAAAAAAATGAAACACACATAATATGTGTATCATATTATTATGATTTCCTTCACATGAAACAAGTGATTTATACGGTTTACTCTTATAAATGCATTTAGTGTGTGTATAATCATTTACTGCTTAAGTTCAGAATTATAAATATGTCAAATCGTTAAGATTGATTGGTATGGCATAAGGACCTCTAATTTTGTTATATTAAGGAAATACATCACTTTATGTATGTAATTATAACAATGTTAGGGCACAAAAACCTGCAATTTTAATCAATTAACGCTATATTTTAACCCTTTATTGAGATTCATTTGAAAAAGATCATCACTTTGTGGGAGGCTATCTCGTTCATAATATCACAAAAAGAGCATGATAAATGAGAAGTTAAAGATAGATGCATACCATATTGCTCACATCATTTAAATACCTTTCCAAAAAAGACATCTCACTATGTTTTCAATATATTGTTTTAAACATATTTATTTTAGCTCGATTGCGAAACAAGTTCTTGCAACTTATATTAATCACTCTCGAGTCCGTTTCCTGGAACCAACCAGTACTGGTGTCAAATGAAGAAACATGATCGTGACCCGATTAGGGCTCGAACCCATGATCTCTGGGTTGAGAGGCAGACACCTTAACCACTAGGCCACCGCTCCCTCCAATATATTGTTACATTCAGAAAGAGGGGGCAAAATATATAAATTAAGATGTCATTGAAATAAAATAATAACTATGAAAAACGAAAAGAATCTATTGCATCGCCAAATTTTTTTACAGAGCATTGTGCTTAACTTACCATAAAGGTACACGTTAAAAAATATACATACTTAAATGTAGTTGGGTTTCCTTTTCCAAAACTCGTAAATTATTCAAGAGCAATTATCTTGTAAGCTAGTATGTTAAGAACATGATAAAATATTAGTTTAAGAATTAATGTTGCCACTTATTCTGTCAGGTTTATCCTTGACATATGCATAAAGTAGGCAGTTGTGCATTTAGCGCGAATGTTACATCAACACAACAATGTTAAGGTTACTGCATTGTCAGAATTGCAGTCGTAAACACAAAACATATTAAATCTGCTTTATATAAACGAATACCTCTTGCCAAATGAACAAACAGCTAAGACACATTTGGAAAATATGTTTTATACTAATCCATATTGCCATATTTCTTGTATAAAAGGCTACACTGACGTGTAAATAACTCATCATTACATTTTGGCTAATTTGTCTTTCCTTCCTTCAACCCGTGTGGCCAATTATTTACAATATAGACCATGATGATAATGGGATAAATTAATACTGTATTTTTACGAGCTTCCACCTGTTTTGTCATTATAATTTTGACAAAATGACATTTATTTTGTTTGGATTATAAAAACGTTCCTTGCTTTTTAAACGGTTTACATTTATGTCGCTGTACCGTTTTACTCCTACAAGGGCCTGAAATGATTTATAAAACTTTTTATTTATTTCTACATTGTATTGTTATGATCATATTATAAATTATTTGCTTTTTTTCCGTTTCAGATTGTAAATCGTGGTCGTACTTAGGCGAAACAGGTATTTTCTTATTTTATACATGTTATATTCTTAAAATGTTTGGTGAATGAAAAGTTGTGTAATAAACGTGTAATTACTCCGTATGAATTATTGGTCAGTATGTCTTTTTCTGAATAAATCTACTGAACCGCGCAAGAACCATATCTTTCAATTATTTTATATGCCAAAAGTAAAAGAGTAAATATATTATACGATTTACGTTACTGTTTTTGTTATTATGGTGTAATGCCAATAATCACCAAAATTTGAGCTGAATGGATTAATGTGCGAGGCCTGCCTAGAAATAGTTCATCAATGCTGTATCAGAAATGTGTCATACTTACAATAAAAAGACCTATTTGTTCAGAAGGTGCATTGAAGTAAAAGCGTTAAATAAAGTAGCTGTTGGTTAAAAATATTAGGATTGTCTTGAATTAAAATAGCTGGCCTTTATGAAATACGAATTACTATATAACTGAACATTTTTGGTCATGAAATCATAGTATAATATTATATAAGAATTACCTGAAAAATATACAGTGAATTCATTTGTATTTGACCTATTTTTTATATATTAAGGTTGTATCATAATTATAAGATATATTATTAAGTCTCTTTAGTATGGATTTTTACGACGTCTCTCAAGTTATAGCTTTTTAGGTAATTTCGAAAGAAAGTGAATAATTCGTCGACACGTCTATGAACAGATGTTGTAAATTCAAATTTTGGTATTTAAATGTGATTTTTAAAGTCATTCTGGATAGCGCGTCGTCAATTTCGGACAACGGTGTATTTATAGACGCAAATTTTACTTGTTTTAAAGTATGTTAAATTATTGCCCAAAAATGACAAACTGTCTAATTTGCAAATCTTCCTCATAAAATTTGTCACAATTTGGACAAGAAATAAACATTAAATAACTTAAAAGTTGTAAAAACGAAATTGTTACATACTTAAAAAAACTGTTTCAAACCCAAAATCTAAAATTAAACTTGAATTATGAGAAGCATATTATTTCTTCATTTTTGCCTGTCACGCCATATCTCATAATTTATAGAAAAAGAGACGTGTATAAAAACTATTTCATAAGACATTAATTTTGAAGAGCTGGAAAATATCCACATGATCGGCGGTTGTTCGTTTGAATTAGTTTATAGACATCTTTTTCAATTACTTGCCCTTACGCTTAGTTATACTTAAAATATAATTTTAGCGCGTGTATTATATGTTTACAACACTTTTGTACTTTGATAAAATTTAATAGTACAACAGTGCGAGTAACATTTTGCTTTTTTTAAAGGTCCAGACAATTGGAGCTCACTTTACCCAGAATGCTCCAAGACAAAGCAGTCGCCGGTGGACATCTTCCACGAGGAAGCACAACCGGACGAAGAGCTGTCAGATTTCGAGTTCTATGGATATGATAACACCAATAATATGGAAAATCTTACAGTATGGAATGACGGATATACAGGTTGGCTATTCTGATATTAGAAATATAAAGATATATCTCACTATCTAAAAAAAAGTAAAACAGTTGATGTTGAAAAATATTTTGTATTTTGTCAGCAAGACAAGGTAAAACCGACGGCCAAGTAATAATTATTTCACTGGCGTCACGATGACGTCATTGAATATTGAGCATCGTTTTGTGCCATTGATTTTTTTATAGCGTTTGACTACATTTAATGTTAAATGATATAATTTGTTATGATATAATTTGTTATGATATAAAAAGTAAATATGTTAGTTTCAATATCTATTTGCAATTTATTTTATATCATTAACAGAAAAGACAATTCTATAAATTACTTACACCTGAAATGCTATTTCAAAAAAATGGTCTCGCCTCTGAAAAGTTCTTTTCCTGTACTCCTGTAATGAAATAATGAATCTCTTTGTTTAATTTTGATATTTCAGCCTCTTATTGTTGCTCGTGTACAAGACGTACTGAGGCGGCCATTTTCTGGAATTATAAATTGAACCTTTTATACATGCGGCACCGTATTTTGCAAAAGAACTTTTATAAGCAAAATCACGCTTTGAACTAACTACATGCACTTGTAAATTTAGACAAGATAGCAATAGTTAAATTAAAGCCTATATATTGATATATTTTAGTGACCGTCCGTGTCCATGGCGACCTGAAGATCTCAGGCGGTGGTTTAGAAGGTCTATACGAGCTTGCCCAATTCCACTTCCATTGGGGGCATTCTGATAGAGTAGGATCTGAGCATTTCCTCGATGGCAAATCATACCCCCTTGAGGTAAGAGCGGGTTTGAGATTAGATTTATATCTATATATAAGTATATATCTATAATATGTATTGTTTTAAATGAAGGATCTTAAACATGTTAAAGGAAGCAAATACTTTTATTAACTGTTATGCCAAGATGAACGATGAATTATGTTGTAATATAAACTTTACTTTGTCAATTTTGACTTGTAAATTAAATAGCCTTTTATCAGGCAAAAAAAAGAGGTAAAATTCGGTGTTTCTAATGAAACTTCAATGTTGGTATTCCGCTTTCACAAAGTCTACGATTTCTTTTACATTTCTGTTAGTCCAAGAGTACATGAAAGCAAAATTCGTGGTTTTCGTCTATGCACATTTGCATAAAGGTTGCGTTATAAATTGTACAGTGCCGCTTAATTTTAAAATTATCTTTTATTAGAAGAAAGAAAAGACCACATTCTCTGTAAGACAAAAGCATTTTTGAATAAAGGGGATACACAAATATCTTTCATTTCTAAAATTTCTATATGTTGTATGATAAATCAATGAAAAATTTAAACAAACAAATTTGAATATATTTTTTCCAGATGCATTTAGTACACAAGACAGTCCGTCACGAAAAAATTGCCAATGCTTTGTCTGATCCAAAAGGTCTTGCAGTTCTCGGAGTGTTTGCACAAGTTGGAAAACCACATCCATATTTCCAAGCTATTATAGACAATCTTAGGCTTTTGGATATCGGTAAGAAATGATCACAAACTTTTATTTCAAGTTTACATGTTCTTAAGTGTCATTAATGATATTAACAATGACAAAAAAGAATACATGGAAATGAAATAAAACATTTAGGTTCCTGTAAAGAGAAAAAGAGTTCGGAAAATGGTACAAGCATGTAAACACTTTATTTACCGATATATACTTGCCATAATGACTCCAAATTAATGTTAACCTCTTGTTTATTCTTCAACAGTCAATATAAAAACCGCATTTAAATGATATGTCAATAGGTAAAATGTATTTTCATAAATGTCTTCTTATATAATTTGTCATTTGATTCATGACATATAAATCAATGAGGAATAAGGATGGAATATGTTTAAGTATAAGCAATAATTCAACTTAAACCGATTAATTTCCATTAATATTAGACGGTTTAAAGGTTACAAAGTATACATTCAATCTTTGTATAAAATAAAAACCAAAACACATGATAGAGAGGGTAAATTTTTATTCATATAGGAGTATTAATGTATCGAAGTAATTTACATAAAGTTCTTAGTTAGAATGATAAATTAATCGGTAATTAATCAAAGCAATACATATTAAAATGGTTAACCTTAACCATAAATAAACCGAAAGCTTTGAGGTTTATGTCAGTTTTAATCATAGATGTATATTTTCCATAAATGTATGGACTATGTAATGTTCATTATAAAGTCTATATGTCTTATTTACCTAGTCAGTAATGCAAATTACATACTCGTAATCAAAATTACCTACTGAATCGAGTATGGACTACTAATAATTTAATAACATTAATAACAAATACTATTCTAAATGAGAAAAGATAAAGACTATAAGTAAGTCAAAGACGAGAGGCACTTGTCTCTGAGCGATACGATTGTAGTACTTTTGCTTCGCACACTATTGTTTTGTTGTTGCTTTTGCTGTTGTTGTTGTTGGTGTTGTTGTTGTTGGAAGCGTTGGCCTTGGCGATTTCTACATGGTCATTTTCATGCAACTGTCTTGTTTGTTACAATTACTTTACTATTTTTTGTTTTCTGTTTTGTCATCTCGTAATATACTCATTCATATCATCGTTCAAACCCTTTAATCATTTTCGTTTAAAATGAAATATCATTGTTTCTGCAAATAAATCAAAATCCATTTAACAACAATAATAGGGAAATTACAGGGAAATTACAGGTGATTATGTGAACACATCAATTAAGCTAACAATCCGATTAACAAGCATGTAATTAGAGCACCTTATCACACAAAGTTATGTTATATTAATTAATTCATCAACTTAATCTGTAAGGAATAAAATGTTTGTGTTTTTGTTTTTGTAAGATAATAATATCAAACGAGACTTTTGCCACCTGGTTTGATTCATGTCCTTATAAATAACAGTGAAAAATGCATTGAAGTAATGTGTTTCAAAATATACTTGTTCTTTCGGCTTGATGGATTATGGAAACAAGAATAGATTATATTTCCTTTACAAACCTATTAGCATTTGAGATTTGCATTGTCACATTTTATCATTTTAACATTTGAAAACCACATTTCCGTATCATAATATATATATATTTATTTTAGTGAATGTACTTAATCGCGTCATAATTCTTTGCATTTCGTCTTTCAATACAATTATCCCTTTTAGCAGCTACGGTTTATTACGCGTTAAAATTACGTTTTATGCAAAATGCGAATTATAATATTAATAACGGAAATGCTCTATAAGTTTTCGGCTGAAACTGTTTTGTTTTATTAACAAAAAAGGTCAAAAAAGCCTTACCGGGAAGAGCATTGCGTTGCGTTGTCGTTTTGATATAAAGTTATGTTTGCATATTTCATGCCAGTGCATATGATGTATTTAAACGTCTCTTTTTTGACATATTATATACAATTTGCACGAGGATTCTGCATAAGATTAATTGACTTAAGACGTTGAAATAAAACATGCCAGAGAAAATGGAATGACTGTCATAAAATTTCAGAGACATATCCAAATATAGAATTACAAATTGCTGAGTTATCGGGATTAAGGTTTAGAGAAATGCAGATTGTTCATACAAAAAAAGTGTTACAACCGGATGTGGTGTAGACTTGACCAATGAAATTTCAGGCTTAGCTTTAAGATGATAAAATACGCAAATGAGTGCATTTGTTAGACCTGTTTTTATGAACTTATGTTTCATTTAAAGCACAAAACTTGATTGTAACATTAAATTTATTCATAATTTGAAAATGTATGTAACATTTCGTACATTCCTTTCGTTCTATTATAATTCCTCTAACTTCAAAGTACGGTCGGTAACAAATGTTTTATAAATAAAGATAGTTATTAAAAAAGCAACCCATTAACTTTAATTTTGAAGAAAATATCATACCGAATCGGACAGCGACGTTTATTTTTACGTACACATAACTTTAACTGCTGTAGAAGTCAGGCTTATTATTCAGTCCAATTTCAAAATCTGTGGAAAACGGTGCTACATTGTATAATAGAATATATCTTAACTGCTGCCGTTCAAAATCAAAATCAATAATATTGCCCAGAATTATGTTGTGTTGTCTTGCATGTTCACCATTTTACTATAATATTACGATTTTTATTTATAAATCTCTCCAAATAGTATATTTACATAATAAAAATATATACTCTTTATTTATCCATTATTTTTGTTGGGTTTTATGTCGCACCTACACAATATAGGTAATATGGTGACTTTCCAGCTTTACTGGTAGAATAACACCTCATGTGCCTTTCCGTGCATTTTTTTCAGTCATGAACGGGCACCTGTGTAGAACCACCGACGCTGCTTAAACAACCTGTATAACGTCCTCACATGGAAGAATCCAAAATCTCTTTTTTTATAAATATATTTAGTTTTTATTCCTTTTTTTCCAGGGGATTATGCCAATGTTCGTCCATTCCCGCTAATGAAGTTGCTTCCTGATGATTATGAAACATATTATCGTTATAACGGAAGTCTGACCACGCCCCCATGCTCTGAAAGTGTCGTCTGGACCGTCTTCAGAGAGCCAATAGAAATCTCAGAATTTCAGGTAAGCTATTTTAACAAAAAATTACAATTGCGATATCCTAAAATAGTATGTATCCTTATTGAAAAGATTCAGTTAACGCAAGTTATGAGATTATTTTGATATACATTTATTTCAATGTATAATCATTTTTTTCTGCAGCAAAATATGTCCGTTCTCTAAAATACCGTATACCAGGTTATTTTCGCCTACGGCAAATTTCGCAATTTTGGCAGTAATCTTATTTTAGCTATTTTTGTACATGTTTCTTGCTGACAAAGAGAGAAAATTTCGAAATCCCCATATTAGATTGAAGGAAAATTAGCGAATCTGTTTTTGGCGATATGCATTGCTCGCGAATATAGCGAAAATGAGATGCTCGTGGAAAAAACTGATATACAGCACTTTAGATTATTGAATTATATCATGTGCGTACCTTTTTAATATAATTGATACAAAAAACTATGTGTCGTGTACAAGACACTGTGTTGTATTCGTTACGAAATAAAAGTTGTAATATGTTCTATTCCTAATACTTTTGAAAAAATAAATATGGTGAAAAGATTTTTCAACACTTTTATTTGCTGCTGTTAAAATTCATGCATCTTATCATTATTTTGTTAGAAATAATAAATTCTAAATTTCGCCTTTCCTAAACATCAAACTTGTGACTTTTTTACTGACTATGAAAATTACTGAAATATATTTCAAAGCAAAATATAAAATTTATGTGTTTATGTTACTATGATTTATAAATTTCTTGTTTAATGTTTGTCTTACTATTAACAATCTCTCTAACTTGATTAATCATTTTGTTTACAGCTCCAGCAATTGCGAGCACTGTCATCTATCTCCAACATAACAGATAATTTTAGACCAGTCCAACGACTTAACGGCAGACGTGTCCATGTCAGAAAAAAGCCCGTCGCTTCCGTATCCGCCGACACAAGTGTTAATGCTCAAGACTCTAATACCGATAAAAATACCGCAGACTGGGATCCAACCGGAACCAGTTCTGTCAATATGGCGTCCGCGTGTTTTGTGATCGTATTAAGCGCTGTCTCAAAATATTTGTTTGCTTGATGAATGATGAAATAAATAAATAAATGATCGGTTTAACATATACAAGATATTGACCACCATTGGTCACGCACCATGAGACCTAAAGTAGTCATGTTTTTTTTTCAACATTACGTCATCAATTGTAAACAAGTACAGACTTTTGTCAAATCCCTCTTTTTGGTATATTCGTAGATAAATAGCTAGAATATTCTTTAGAATATTTGAAACTTTAAACAAATACCACGACTTACAAGTGATAGTAAAGGCTACTTACAATTCAACCTACATTTATGTGCACATTTTGTTGAAACTTAAATCTGCAGCCTCGTTTTGAAGATGCTGATGTCACTGCAGATACTTTTCACATTTACATAGACGCTCAAGTACATTTGTTTCTATAGAAAGAAGAATACACGACGCATTGATTTCCATAACATGAAGATATTCCATAAAACACGGGCGTAGCTGTTTTCATTGATGTGTGTCATACATTAGTAACCTGGAAATATCGTCTGCTTGTGATTTACTTGCATCATCTTGGGGAGATCCGTCTGCCCATTTATCATGTGTGAATGGAGAATCCGCAGAATACTTTCCTAAAAAGCAGTCACGTGGCATCAACGTCATTGTTTCGTCATTCGTTTATCGAATGATAATGACTTGAATTGAGAGAATAACAAAGACTGCTGACTATCATTTTAATTCAGTCACATTATTAAACTCAATATCAACCACAATATAGCATTCCATTTTCATTATTTTACAATGTTCATTATGGAGGCTGATTTGGTACACCGGCGTGTTGTCGGACTTTCGTCTTGTCGTCCTGTCGCTAAAGATGCAAGCCAACGGTGCGTTGTCGTGCGGCATGTTGTCGCGATGTCACATTGTCGCTCGACTCAACTCGAAGGATTGGCGACAAGACGAAAAGGCGATAACAATATAGGAACAAAAATCAGCCACCATAGTTCGTTGCTTTTATTTTCTTCAAACTTATTTGGATAAGGAAAAAAAAACACGGGAAATTAATTGTTAAACTTTACTTTTACAGACTAGAACTTACAATTAAGTTTCTAATAATACTGAAAAATAAATTTATTTCAGACATTTTAGACATTTTTACAATTATGTATTAATACTGATTAAAAACTTATATACATGAAAGTTAACAATTAAAACAAAAATTTAATATTTTGGGGCAAATTATGAATTTTGTAATATATTTTTGCTTTATTTATTGTTGAACTTTTTTACGTATGTACATTGTTTGCTTTAACAATTTACATAAAGAAATGTTTTTTTAATTAACTGATATATTTTGTCAAAATAAAAATGAAGAGTTTGCACGGTGTTGATTTTTTTTCTAATATGTATATCCTTAAAAGGATGCAGAGCAATTTGGTGACAAGTTTAAAAGCGGTGCATTAAAATGTCCAAAACAAGCAACCACTAAAACGCATAAATCACAGCATGCAGAGTATTTATCAAAAAACAAATATAAAAAACAAAAAACAAAACGTGTGATGTTGCAAATAATTCTTTGTTTCCAACAATATCATTTCCTTCTTTAAATGCTTATGCAAAGTATGCACCTTTAGATCACCTGCTACGAAAGTTAAAGATATGAATATCGAATGTTGCCAAATCGTAGAAAACGCAAGTGAATGCCATAATTTATTCAGATGTTTCGAATGTATAAACAAAGGCAATGACAACTGCACGCCTATATTCAAGCTCCGACTAGCAAATAAATATGTCTTCATGCTTAGTTTGGAAAGTGCTTCATTAATCACAAAGGGTCAGTGAGAAGAAGCATTCTGTGTTTTTATATTCAGTGTTTGACCTCTTTACGTCATAAATACTAAAGCCATCAAATACCTTTTTTAACCTTGGTGTCTTTTCAAAACCATTTTTTCACCATTCAGGATGGTTTTCTTTAAGATATTGTTACCCTGGACATTTAAAATGGTTTCTAAATTCACAATGTTACCATTTCACGCTTAAATGTTGAATTCTGCCTAAGCCGGTGCTAGGGGTCGTGGACGGTACTTTGCACCGTCCATGAAGAGGTTCAATCTAACCGAGCCTGCAACATTTTCAATATCGCCGTCTTGGGCTTTCTTTAGGGATTCTTTATTTCTCTATTTTATCGGTACATCAGCATTGTTTGTGCCATGTGGAGGCTGTAAAAAGTCGCCCCGTACATTCAATCAGAGACGTTATATTTCCGATCCTTAAAGATAGTTCAGCACGACATTATTGTTATGTTTGTGGTATTTTTAGTTTTAACTATTTGGCATTTTCTACTGCTTTTGTAGAGGTGTGTTTAAAGTACATAATATTAAAAGTGTATTCCCTGTATTCCGTTTAAGAATTGTAGACAAGAAATTTCGAGTTCGAGTGGAAGCATCTCTAAAATCAAGTTCGACTGGGAGCATTTTCCATGTTTTATTAACATTATTATTAAATTTGATTGAAAATATTTGAAAACAATCTCGAAATATGTGTAAAAATTACCCGGTTATGCCAGAGATGTAGATTACAGAGATAAGCAGCTCCTATATACTCCATTGAAATATCACTCATGCCTATCAAAAATGTGAAAAATTAGGCTTTTTGTAGCAAATAAAACTTAATGGATGATGTAAATTTGATCCTTTTATATTATACACCATTTGAAAGTTAAATCTTTTGTCTATTGCTGTATGTTAAAATATTCATTTCACGTAAAAAGAACATAGCAGAACATACCCACTGAGCCAGTTTTTTCATCATATGAATAGTTTTGTAACAAAAATTAATGAATAGTTCTCTTTAAAAATTGATGCATCATCTATTTAAATGGGAACTGTAAATGTTTACCTGCAGCCATAGATAAATGCATAATGTATTATTTTACTGATTTTGATATCTGGTTAATAAGTTTTACTTGCTACAAGTTTTAAGTTCAGCAAGCACGCGTGATAGTTTAAACTGGTTAGGAAGGCTATGCTCTGGTACGTGTAAAATAATTTTCAAGAAGGGTTGTGGTAAAAATCTAAATGGGAGCATTCAGCGAAAAAATATCTCGTTTTCAGGCCTAAACCATGCTCAAATCTATAAACTTTTCTTACAATTACCTAAAGTTCTGTAGCTATTCTTTTGTGCGCCACATTATATTTTGATACTCTATTTCTTGTACAATAAAATCGTAGTTTACATTTGAGTCGACGGATTTTCTACAGGAAAGGAAAATGGTCCAAGTGGAAGCATTCAGCAGGTGCGCGATGACGAAGTACCCTAGCAACTATTATACAAGAGCACCACAAGGGTACTAAACGCCCGAATGTAAATGTGTTTGAGTAAAAAATGATTTGCCACCGCATTAATATTACACTAAATAGTAGGAATAGAAGTAGATGATTATTAGTTTATTTACATTTAAACTTTGCCATAATGCAGTAGTGGCTTGTGAATTTTGGGGGTCAAGGTCATATTTCAGAATGTCAAATGAAAGACAATGTAAAGATTTCCCTAATGCATATACATGTAGTAAAAAAGTGCATGAGGAATGTGTTGTGCCTCGGTATCACATATAAATTCAAATGTAAATACTTTTTTGAGAAATCCAGCACTATACATTAAAAAGTGTTGAATCTAAAATTGAATCGAGGATCTCGCATGTTTTTATTAACGATATTTTTGATAACTTTATGTTTTTGGACATTTTAGAGTATCTGTTTTCCTTGTTTTTGTAACAAATTACAGGCCGCTTATGTAGTTCACCATTCTATTTTCAAGAACTTGAACAAGTGCATTGAACAACAATAAATTAAGGCAGCATGCATTCAGATTCACGCTAATTTTCATGAAAAGTTTGAATAATGAATTAGTAGGTAAAATATTACGAACGCTACTTAATACACGTAAATTACCAAATACAAAAAAAAATATGCCAAAAAAGGCATTCATCGCGTTTGTCACGCAGTAGGAATAGGTGATAAATACTGCATACATGTAATTCAGTCAGTCATTGCATGTAATGTATAACTGAGCCGAGTCACGACAAAACCAACATAGTGCGTTTGCGACCAGCATGGATCCAGACCAGCCTGTGCATCCGCGCAGTCTGATCAGGATCCATGCTGTTCGCTATCAGATTCTCTACTTGTTATAGGGTTGGTTAACGAACAGCATGGATCCTGATCAGACTGCGCGGATGCGCAGGCTGGTCTGGATCCATGCTGGTCGCGAACGCACTATGTTTGTTTTGTCATGACACGGCTCAAATTATTACTTGAATTGCTCATTCACGTGAAAATACATGTTTGTCTAACGAGAACAAAGCAATGATGTGTTAAAGGCATAGATACTGCTTCTATTTAATAACTGCGATCTAAAACCCTTTGAAAACAGAAATTTAAAATTTGAATCAATATGTCTTCATTATTTATTTAGGCATATTGGCATATTGAATAATAAACAAATAATAATGCAGTTGAAAGCTTATTACGCATACATGCACGAGATATTTCCCGGCAAGAGTCTGAGTAGCGCAAAAGGCGTATTATCATATTTCTGTTTCTGTCGAAAGGCCGATGTCGTTGTTTGATAACTATTGGTATAGTTTGTGAAACATTGTACGAAAAAGCGTGACTTGTGATTGTTTAAACTTTTATGTGTTTTATGTGTATTTATCATAAAATACGATGTTTGATTTTGTTCACTTAATTTATTTCTTTTTATCATTACAATACGCGAGCTTACACGGACAAGATACATTTGCAATGTACGAATTATACTCACAAAATGAGATAAATGGTAATGAAATACTAACGCTTCTTCAAAGTTCAGAACAAGTATGCGTTTTCAAATGCCACAAAACGTATGGTTGTTTATCTGTGAATTATCACAAAGGTAACAAGACGTGTGTTCTTACCGACTACTATCCGCTCGACGGAACGAAGACGGGCATTCCACAGGCCGGTTGGAATATTTATTTTCGGAGAACCTTTGGTAAGATTGATAGTTACCATCTAGATGCTGTTGATATGTAATGTTCATAACTAATTACAGATGATTTTTATTTATTTTATGCTGATTATTTCAAGGTGGCCTATCACGTGATTTGTTACGTCATGGTTTTGCAATTGCTTGGGCAGACAAGAATGTAAACAAAGCGGCAAATCTGAGGTTGATTTTCATTTAACTTTCGTAATTTAAAGACACCTACCTGGTGCAAGGCCTTATAGACTTAAAATATTCTGAAAATTTTAACTGGGTGCAAAAGGTTTGCCCGTTTCTATTGTTAAAAAATATGATAAACAAGATCAGCAATGAATGAACGCAATCCCCACAAGAACAAGTGGCAAGGAGCTAGAAGGATCCAAAACAAAAACGACACTAATGTGATATAACCGGGAAACACTATTGGTTTAAAGCCTTGCACCAGGTAGGTGTTCTTGTACGAAAATGCTTTTGCTAAAAGTAAAATGTCATTAACACCTAAAAGCCATAACGTAACAAATCACGTGATAGGCCACGTGGTATTTGAACGAAAATAATGACCATTTGTAAGTCTAAAAGGAACCGTATTATTTTCAACCATCCCATTTTGATTGACGTGGACGGTAGTTTGCAACAATATCCACTGCCGTCCATGAACAGGATCAATCAAACAGTGTCTTTAACAATTTTCAATTTTGCTGTCTTAAGGCGTTCTTAAGAGATTCTGTTTTCTCTTGGCCACCAATAGTATTTTCATGAGAACATACATGTCTTTATTTTTATCCCACATCAAGCGTTCCAAATATTGGCATTAAATCATACGCTCATACTTTTCTAGTTTATTATAATGAATTTGGTAATTTATGCTTACATATAATTGTTATTCTTGAAAATAGCTTTAATTAAAAGTGTTGGCGACATTATATATGTCATTAAATGGAGGCTGTTAAAGTTTTTTTTTCAATAAATACAGGATTTATTTTCATCGAGTGGTATGAAAATAAATATTTCATGAGTGGCAGTAGCCGCGAGTAAAATATAATAATTTTCATACCACAAGATGAAAATAAACCCTGTATTTATAGAAAGAAACTTGAATTTTCAGTTTATTATGAACATTTTTCTTCTTTTTGACATTACAATTTGAAAGGCTTCACCTTAAATTTTGTGTATTGGCTGAATTAAGAAGTCAGTAGTCCGTCAAGGCACCAGTAATAATTCGAAAAATATGTTTTACTGCAATGAAAAATAAATTTCTAAAGCGAAAATATGAAAATGAAAATGCGCATTTTATTTCATCAATATTTCTCAATATTTTATTCAAAAGTATATAATAAAATATTTTAATTTATCTGGCTAGAACGTTAATGTACTACCACTACTTAATTTACAGTCTTTAAAGCTGAATGCCAGATGAGCCAAAATATTTCGAGAAAATCAATATTGAGAAAAATGTACTTATATTTTAAGAAAGGTAAAAACATTCATGTTTTTGCATATGTTAACCACTATTTGGTAATTTTCTTAGATTGTAAGTGCCGATAGCAATATGTTAATTAGTTTATTTGTTTACCTCACAATATTTTACTTTTAAATACATTTCTAAAATTTTCATGAATATTGACATGAATATGGAGGCATGGCGCTTTAATGGCTTTGTGCTATTATAAACAAGCAATAATCAAAGTATTACAGTCTTTTCGAAAGTCCTCTAACATTCTGAATTCATTAGGCGATTTTTGAAGGCATGTATATTATTTTAGTTCTTAGGATGTTTGTATCATAGTATTTTGTAAGGTTTACTAGCCTAATATGTATCAAAAGGTCAATTTTTCTAAGAATGAATGTGTATATAACTAATGTTTCAAATTTTCTCATTTTTAAGTAAATTTGTTGTTAAAGTTCCAAGTTCTTTAAAAGAGATAAATAAGAATCCCTAAAGAACGCCCAACACAACCTAATTGAAAATGTTGCAGGCTCGGTTTGATTGAGTCTGTTCATGGACGGTACTGTAAAGTGCAAACTACCGTCCACGCCCTCTAGCACTGGCTTAAGCAGAATTCAACATTTAAACATGAATATTAGGAAACAGTCTTTTAGGGATTGACAGTAAGAAGGAACACCTTTAAACCTCAATCAGAACATAACCTTTGTGAAAGTTAAATTTCTTAAACTAAAATTGTTTTTAAATAAAAATGCTAGACTTATAAACCTTATTATACATGATGTTAGTGATGACAAAGAACAATTACCTTAAGTCCAGAGTAAATACCATTTATAGTGACAAAGAAGAAAAGTGAAAAATATTTTAAAAAACATTCAAATATAACAAATATTACAGTAACAAAGAAGAAAAAACATACCAATTTTTAAAGTCAAAATAATCAAGGAAACTTGACTTGTTAATCTGATCAAATATGATGAAGATGTTTATAATGTTTTATGGACGGATGATTTGATTTAAAACATATTTTATTACCCAAAAAGAAACATATACATACATGTAAAGACAGATACAATATAATGGTATACAAGAAAAGCATTGATGCAAAGCATCAAAGAGCGTCCAAGCAAGAAATGCAGCGAGTGACGATGAACTAGTAGACATATGTTGACCAATCTTCTTATAAACTTTTCTATGGTTACTTGGATTTTACCAGAAGTGTTTAATAAAGTAATGTTACATATTTTTATCCTCGGCTATCGCTTTCTGAAAGTTTGATTTCAGGTAAGAGAGAATAATATAAAATGATTGGTTGTGGGTGTTTTCTAGTGTGAATAGTATGAAACAATTGCTGAGTGATGATTTATATAATTTATAATTTATATAATTTACATTTTACAAGATATACGTTTACGTTTTGCAAAATGCAATAAACAGTACTAATGCGTATTCTAAGACTGCTGCTTCTCGAAATCGATCCTTTTGTGTGTATTTTAATTAATTTTCATTTTAAAATACCTTGTAGGTTCGTATGATCTCCTGTTTTGTATATTTTGAAATGACATCCCGTCCGTTTGTGTGTAATAATTGAATCGTCCGTCTGTTCGTTCGTCCGTCTGTCCGTACGAGGTTAACCTAAAACAGCAAGTTGGATTTTTTTTCAAGTTCTACCAATACCAATGACTTCATACTTTACACACTTGATACTCTACGCATAGTTCATGATCTGGGCAAGTTATATAACTATGTATTTCATTTTTTCAAGTTATTGCCCTTTTCAGCACTAAGAAAATGAATAATTGGTTAACTTAAAAGGCAACTTGGATATAAGTTCTATCTATACGAATGGCTTTATAATTACAACACTTACTTTTGAATACAAAGTACATGACATTGCCAAGTAAAATAGCAGTGTCATCCAATCTCCCCAGTTATTTTCCTGTTGGATTTATCTTATACTTCATTTATTTAATGAAATCTTTCATATTCGGTAAGTGGATACCTTAAAGGATCCATTATTTTTTAAAGTAAGGAGCCTCTAGGTTTAAGGTCAATTGTCTATAAAACAAATTTAAACCTTTTTGCTCACACAGCCTTTATTTTTTAGTTGATGTCATTCGTGTTACATACAAACTGCTAATAAATGTCCTCTACCTTTGGGTTTATCAAGGATTCATTGGGTCAAGGTCGAGGCCAAGGTCACCAATGTCAAAATAGATTCTTACTTTTGTACAGGTGTATTAACCTGATCCTATTGACAGATTCTCTTATATTTGGTAGGAACATAAAGTTGTGTTTTTTTGTATGTAGTTAGGGGTCAGTTGGGTCAAGGTCATCAAAGCCAAAATAGATTATTACACTTTTGCTCTTAAAACCTTTCTCATTTATGGACAGATGTCTTTCGTATTTGGTAGGAAAATAACTTGTATAGTATTCTTCCTTCTGACTGAAGGAGGAGTGGGTCAAGGTCACCAGTGATTAAAAAACGATTTTTACACTTTTGCCTATTTAGCCTTTTTTATTGACAAATGTGTCTCATATCTGGTAGGAAGATTACTTGCATGGTATTCTTCCTTTGGAACGGTTTGGACACGGTTACCAGTGCTAAATATATATTTTTATGCTTTTGTCTGTATAGCATTTATTTCCTGACAGATGTATTTTATGGCTGATAGGAAATTAACGTCCATGGTATTCTTTCGTTTGGATGGAGTTAGGGGTCAGTTGGATCATGGTCACCAGTGCTTAAAATTGTTTTTAAACATTTTTGCCTACATACAGCTCAACGCCCACAGCACAGAGCTATTTGTGTTGACTATTTTTGTCCGTGGATTTTTTTCATTTAAACCCTTCGATTTACAGTTAAAAATAAATTAGGAAGCAAGAACTCCTTTCGATTTGTATTATGTAAAGTCATATATTGGTTTCCCCTTCGGTGATTCGCAACATGTCATATAAATGATTGAGAACGGGAACAAATTTCCCGCCAAGGCAGTATAAAAGACAAAAGAAAAAAATAAACTTAAATTCGGTAATTTATTTCTTACATTTGTATCTTCTACAGGAAATTACTAATTATTCTGTAGGACACAGTTGATTATGTTTGTACATGAATTCGAAAGCTATAAATAGATGACCTAAATGTCATTCGGAACTGTCTCGGCTATTATCTATAATAACCTCGGAAACAATACGGATTTAAAGTAGTTCTACCACGTAGTTTCAGATGTAAACAGAGATAATGTAAAACGAATGCATTTATCTGACATCTAATGTATCTTCCGGTACTCGTATGCTTGAAAATATGTCTGACAACAATTTGTAATTTAAATAAGCCCACTGATGTTCAACTTCAAACAAATCCGACTAAATGTCGACAGGTTGGTTTCTTGTACTTTCGGTTTCTACAACCATAATAATAAATATATAAATAATGTATTGTTTGCTTTTGTAGCTATGAATTCTATGAATTCACTTATGTTTGGTGGACTTTTACTACATATATTGGAAATAAACTTGTCAATAACTCCCAGCATTAAATTACTATTTGTTTACATGTTTAGTTTCTTAGCGTTGGTTAGACCCATACTATTCGTGTTCGAGGTCCTTATCCTAAGACTGACGGAAAGGGCAGAGTAGTTGCGATTGTGTGAATGTCCGAAAATCTATTTATAGAAGTAGTTTTATTCTGTACTTTCTGTACATAGCTTTGGGGAAATCACCTAATGGAGTGTAATAACGAACTCGATGTTTTTGGCTTTTTTAAAGTGAAATAAAACAGTTATTTCTTTGTAAGAAAATAATCAAATATCATTATATGAATAATTCCATAAAAAATAAAGTAAATATACAAGTTTACGCAGAAAAATACCTTATTTATTATGGAGGATTCCACTACGGCTGTTTAAAAACTATTTTTATTAATTTTAATTATAAACAATTTATTTTTTGAAACATTTGCAATAGATGTTAAAGGAATATTGATAATTTTCAAACACAACAATTTTTTTCACCTTAAACGGTAACATAATGATAGAAAAATAGAAATATCACGTAAATGTGTTATGTACTTAATTTGGAGTAATTCCCCAGAGCTTAATCCATAACATACCGGAAAACGGTGTTTAGCTAGGTTTTCGAAAAAAGGTCAATTCGTGTCGCACGCTATGGTAATAACGAACTGTGAAATGAAATGCAAACATATTCAACAATAAATTGCACTCTTTAGAACTTTATCGAAAAAAAAGAGTAATTTTTCGAATTATTATATCAAAGTATTATAATTTTGAAATTGTTTTTTCCTTAGGTTCTTTCCGGTAAATTAATCTTTGATTCTGTTTTGTTTGAAGGCAATCGGTTTTATGGTGGCTTGAATGTAATGTAAATTTGCCCAATAACAACAGAAACTTTCGCCTGCAGTTTTTACATGAAGTGTTATGGGTTTATTGATAGGACGGTGATTTTAAAGCAATTCAACAAAATAGTAGATTGAATCTCGCATTAAATCAATTAACAAAGCTCTTTATATATCATCAATTTCAAGTACATGTAGCTTTTATATCTTTGACTCGCATGAACATGATTTCCACATACCTGTCTCAAATTCGGGTAACAGTCTTCCATTAATAAATAATGTTTCAATATATCAACATGCCATTCAAATTTATTTATGATTTTTAATGAACCATTATTTTTGTTAACGCGTATTACAAAAAAATCCGAATTTGGTCTTTTTGAAATTCATCCTAAATATTTCATTCCAGTGTGTATTCTACTTTCACTATTTAACTTGGACTTGAAATATCAAACTACTGTATCTTAAGTATTATTATGCAAATTTAAATGATTTACAAAACATTCGGAAAAATGTACAATAGCACTTAATCTAAAAAGAAAATGACCTGTGCGGTAAGGTATTTTTTTTTGCGCGGAGCTTCTCAATTGCTGCATTGCAGCAACATTTTTAATTGTTGACAAATGTATGTCATATTTTGGAAAGAAAATAACTTACATGGTACTCTTCCCTTTGTTTGAGGTTTGGGTCAATGTGTCTAGGTCAAGGATGTCAGAAAAATTTCTACATGTTTGCTTAAACAGCCTTTACTTTTTGACTGATGTTTTTATATTTGGTAGGATGATAACTTGCATGGTCTTCTTCCTTTGGATTGAGTAGTACTAGTACTAGTACTGGGAGATACAAAGACCAATAGATTTTTTTAAACAGCCGTTGTATATTTTTTTTACAAATGTCTCATATTAAAAAGGAACATTCCTAAGATTGTCCTTTTAAGTTCGGATGGAGTTTGGGGTTGCTGGGTTCAAGGAAAGAAGTCCTGCATTAACTTGTAAAGATACTGCTATTTGATAAAGCTGAATATTTGTCAAGTTAATCACAAGTCTTGGCAATGACTTGCTAACTTATATTTTTTACAATTACAAAATGCAATGACCCTGTCAAGTTACATATCTGTGTTTATAACTTTTTTGGCAATTTTCCGTCCTTAACTGCGTGAATGGGTAAACATTTATTGAATTATTACTGAAAAGAATCTGAGCCGAGGGTATTTGTGTTTAACAAACACGTTCTTGTTTTGTCCATGTCACAAGTCCTGTTTGGTGTCCTGCATGGTTCTTTGCCGACGGTCCTGTGTTGGGGATGAGTTCATTAAATAACGACCTTCCCTTTTGAGCTTGTATTCATATTTTAATGACTGTATGTGTTCTTTTTTTTTCTTTTTTTTTTTTGGGGGGGGTGGGGGGTGGGGGTGAATTAACGCTGTTTAGGTCGGCATTTGTGGTAGTAAAAGTCCTTGACAATCCTTCTGTGCAGTGTTTCTGGCACGAGCGGGCACTTGAGTCGAAACACCGACCTTACAAAGCTAGCTTGACAGATTCCATACATTAAATAACCCCTTGCGCGATTCGAACCCACAGCGGTGAATAGCCAGTGTGTTGAATTTTTACCACTCCGCAACAGGCGCCAGATTCAGATGTTTTGTATCGTTAAATGCTATAATCATTTCCTTTTGTAGATGTAGACATTTTGAAAGACGCAGAAGCATGGCAGTCGACAACGCTTGTTTGGAATGGAGTCCCGTTAACTGCAGACAAAGCCATTGATGGAGACATTAACAATAATGCAAAACAAAACGATTGCGCTCACTTAACAGGCACAAATTCTTACTGGGCAGTAGCTTTTGGTGCATTTGGGCCTGTCAAGGAAGTGAAAATCTACTTGAGGAGCGATCATACCGGTAAGATCATTATCAAAAAGGCAAAAGTCAAATGCTGGATATAAATTAATTCTTACAGGCCATGATATTTGTTTTGTGAAAATTGCATCTTTTTAAAGCTTTGTTTAGGAAATAGATATAAATTCTGAGTGCATTGTTGTAGAATAATGCACGGTTTGAGTTCAAATGCGTAGTAATATAATCACGAAGGCCGATAGGCCTTACAAAGCATTTGAACGAAAAACGTGCATTATTATACAATAATGCACGAAGAATTAATATCTATTTCCATTCTAACACGTCAAGAAAAAATATAATTATTATTATAAAGTTGGACTATATGTTTGTTGGTTAAATTTGTTTTCGCCTCAGAGTTTCCCATGGAAACGTTCTTTAAAGGCTGTTCCAGTGGGTTGAAAAAAACTGTCGATAAATCTACCGTGTGTAGAAACATTTTGAGAATAACGAATTTTGAAAATGCTGATAAAACTTTGTTTATTTTATTTCACTCTATAACTTTTCAAGCGAAATATAAATTTTTAAAAGTGAAATAAATGTAAAACTTAACTCGTTTGCGACATTAAAATAGCGCACTTGATTTGATTGTTTTGCATGTGCTGTTTGGCGCTACATTGTGACGTCACGTAAACAACACTTTAAACGTCTGTACAGCGTTAACGACTGAATTAAAGATATTGGTGTTCGGATTCATTTTCTTAGTTAGACCATTTTCTTTCATTTTAGATAGTTTTCACAACAAAATTCGACAAAAAATTGTTTTTTATTTATCAGATTTTTCAAACAAAATGTGAAAATACACATGGAGATAATAAGAAAGGCGAGTGCATTGTTGTAAAATAATGCACGCTTCGGGCCTTCTTTGTTTATATAGAAAAATTTCCGATAAAGTTAGAATAAAGGTTAGATTATGTTATTTTTAGATAAATCGTTTTAATTAAATATCAAATCTTATGAATTTAGATGGAAAATTATAAAATTCGCCGATAAAATTCATATAAACACTAAGGACAACCTTCGGTACCTCTAATCTGTCGGTCCACTCTCAGTTCTAATCGATTCGTTTACCCACGGGGGAGGAAGTGTTACTCGAAGGATGGAGTTCTTATGATAACTTGTTTGGAGTTCTTATGATAACTGTCACTGAGTTCCTGGAAAACGTTACGGATTTCTGTGGAAAACTTTTCTATATACTTGGAGAACTCGCGTAAAAAATGGTTATTTTTAACTTTAAATGGAGAGTTTGAGGTGCTAAATTAAACTTTGATAATTAAGCTTGCCCTACAAATTGTATTTTGTTTCAGAAAAATCTTTTAGTTAATATTTTGTCGCCTTTTTGAAAAAAAATCTGGTAGTTTTGAGAAAAATTACCAAATTACTTGTTAATTCGTACATATTGACCTTTTCATTTGTGATCTTCTTCGTTGCTATACTTAATTACCTAATTATTATGGAGAGTTGCAAACATAAAGCCCACGCTAATAAATTTATACCTGATTTTTCAAATGTTACGGAGTTCTTGCGATAACTCAAAATTTGTCCTGGAGTTCTTATGATAACTTTTTGTTACTGCCAGTGTGTTTTTGTGCTTAATCATGGCACGTTTAAGCGTATTTTATTAGTCAATAAGTGTGTAAATCATTATGAAGCATAGTACGCTTTGTTACAACCAGTTTTGCAATAAAAACGAGTTTTGCAATAATTTTATTGCAAAACTCGTTGCGTTGACATGATTTTATTGCAATTTGATCACAACCGGTTTTGCAATAAAAACGAGTTTGCAATAATATATTTTTTCTATCGGATTTTATTGAGATTATACAAAAGGCATTATAAAATTTATCTATGTATATAGGGGTTGACATGCAGGGATTATATTCGGAAATAATGAATATATAATGCTCAAACAATAATTTACATTCTAAATTTCATAATTTTTTATTAACCTTTTAATAAGGTCTTAACTTAACAGTTCTTTGAAGAAAGAACAAAAACACGAGTTTTGCAATAATTTTATTGCAAAACTTGTTGCATTGACATGATTTTATTGCAATTTGATCACAACCAGTTTTGCAATAAAAACGAGTTTTGCAATAAAATATTTTTCTATCGGATTTTATTGAGATTATACAAAAGGCATTATAAAATTTTTCTATGTATATTAGGATTGACATGCAATGATTATAATCGGGAATTATGAATATATAATGCACAGACAATAATTTACATTCTAAATTTCATAAGTTTTTTTTATTTTTAATATATATCTGATGAAAGAATGATTATGATGAAATACCAGGACATGTACACTTATAACAACAACTGTAGTTTTGGAAACTCTTGTGCTCAAATCTCTGTGATATACATACATGACCTTTTAATAAGGTCTTAACTTACCAGTACTTTGAAGAAAGAACAAAAAAACGAGTTTCGCAATAATTTTATTGCAAAACTCGTTGCGTTGACATGATTTTATTGCAATTTGATCACAACCGGTTTTGCAATAAAAACGAGTTTTGCAATAAATTTTTTTTATATATATATGATGAAAGAATGATTATCATAAAATATCAGAACATGTACACTTATAACAACAACTGTAGTTTTGGAAATTTTTGTGCTCAAATCTCTGTGATATACATACATGACCTTTTAATAAGGTCTTAACTTATCAGTAATTTGAAGAAAGAACAAAAAACGAGTTTCGCAATAATTTTATTGCAAAACTCGTTGCGTTGACATGAGTTTATTGCAATTTGATCACAACCGGTTTTGCAATAAAAACGAGTTTTGCAATAAAATATTTTTTCTACCGGATTTTATTGAGATTATACAAAAAGGCATTATAAAATTTATCTATGTATATTAGGATTGACATGCAGGGATTACATTCAGAAATAATGAATATATAATGTTCAAACAATAATTTATATTCTATTTTTCATTAGAGTTTTTTCTTCTTTTAATATATATGATGAAAGAATGATCATCATGAAATATTAGGACATGTACATTTACAATAAATGAAATGAAATTTAGAATGTAAATTATTGTTTGAGCATTATACAGTCATTATTTCCGAATCTAATCACTGCATGTCAATCCTAATATACATAGATAAATTTGTTGTTCTTTCTTCAAAGTACTGATAGTTAAGACCTTATTAAAAGGTCATGTATGTATATCACAGAGATTTGAGCACAAGAATTTCCAAAAACTACAGTTGTTGTTATCAATGAACATGTCCTGATATTTTCATGATAATCATTTTTTTCATTATATATATATTAAAAATAAAAAATTATGAAATTTAGAATGTAAATTATTGTTTGAGCATAATATATTCATAATTTCCGAAAATAATCCGTGCATGTCAATCCTTATAATACATAGATAAATTTTTGTAATGCCTTTTGTATAATCTCAATAAAATCCGATAGAAAAAATATTTTATTGCAAAACTCGTTTTTATTGCAAAACCGGTTGTGATCAAATTGCAATAAAATCATGTCAACGCAAACGAGTTTTGCAATAAAATTATTGCGAAACTCGTTTTTTTGTTCTTTCTTCAAAGAACTGGTAAGTTAAAACACATTATTAAAAACGTCATGTATGTTTATCACAGAAATTTGAGCACACAAGAATTTCCAAAACTACAGTTTGTTGTTATAAATGTACATGTCCTGATATTTCATGATGATCATTTTTCATCATATATATATTAAAAATTTAAAAAACTTATGAAATGTAGAATGTTAATTTTTGTTTGAGCATTATATATTCATTTATTCCAGAATAATCCCTGCATGTCAATCCTTATATACATAGATAAATTTTATAATGCCTTTTGTATAATCTCAATAAAATCCGATAGAAAAAAATATTTTATTGCAAAAACTCGTTTTTATTGCAAAACCGGTTGTGATCAAATTTGCAATAAAATCAATGTCAACGCAACGAGTTTTGCAATAAAATTATTGCGAAACTCGTTTTTTTTGTTCTTTCTTTTCAAAGAACTGGTAAGTTAAAACATTATTAAAAACGTCATGTATGTTTATCACAGAAATTTGAGCACAAGAATTTCCAAAAATACAGTTGTTGTTATAAATGTACATGTCCTGATATTTCATGATGATCATTCTTTCATCATATATATATTAAAAATTAAAAAAAAACTTATGAAATATAGAATGTTAATTATTGTTTGAGCATTATATATATTCATTATTTCCCAAAATAATCCTGCATGTCAATCCTAATATACATAGATAAATTTTATAATGCCTTTTGTATTATCTCAATAAAATCCGATAGAAAAAATATTTTATTGCAAAAACTCGTTTTTATTGCAAAACCGGTTGTGATCAAATTGCAATAAAAATCATGTCAACGCAACGAGTTTTGCAATAAAATTATTGCGAAACTCGTTTTTTGTTCTTTCTTCAAAGAACATGGTAAGTTAAAACATTATTAAAACGTCATGTATGTTTATCACAGAAATTTGAGCACAAGAATTTCCAAAAATACAGTTGTTGTTATAAATGTACATGTCCTGATATTTCATGATGATCATTCTTTCATCATATATATATTAAAAATTAAAAAAAAAACTTATGAAATATAGAATGTTAATTATTGTTTGAGCATTATATATTCATTATTCCCGAAAATAATCCCTGCATGTCAATCCTAATATACATAGATAAATTTTATAATGCCTTTTTGTATTATCTCAATAAAATACGATAGAAAAAATATTTTATTGCAAAACTCGTTTTTATTGCAAAACCGGTTGTGATCAAATTGCAATAAAATCATGTCAACGCAACGAGTTTTGCAATAAAATTATTGCGAAACTCGTTTTTTGTTCTTTCTTCAAAGAACTGGTAAGTTAAAACATTATTAAAACGTCATGTATGTTTATCACAGAAATTTGAGCACAAGAATTTCCAAAAATACAGTTGTTGTTATAAATGTACATGTCCTGATATTTCATGATGATCATTCTTTCATCATATATATATTAAAAATTAAAAAAAAAACTTATGAAATATAGAATGTTAATTATTGTTTGAGCATTATATATTCATTATTCCCGAAAATAATCCCTGCATGTCAATCCTAATATACATAGATAAATTTTATAATGCCTTTTTGTATTATCTCAATAAAATACGATAGAAAAAATATTTTATTGCAAAACTCGTTTTTATTGCAAAACCGGTTGTGATCAAATTGCAATAAAATCATGTCAACGCAACGAGTTTTGCAATAAAATTATTGCGAAACTCGTTTTTATTGCAAAACTGGTTGTAACAACGCTTATCATTTGAACAAAAATTTGGTTATATCACAAGAACTCCGTAACATTTGAAAAATCGGGTATACATTTATTAGCCCGGGCTTTATGTTTGCAACTCTCCACTATAATTAGGTGATTATGTATAGTAACGAAGAAGATCACAAATGAAAAGGTCAATATGAACGAATTAGCGAGTAATTCGGGAATTTTTCTCAAAACTACCAGATTTTTTTAAACGGCGACGAAATATGAACTAAAAGATTTTTTTTCTGAAACTATTACAATATGTAGCGCAAGCTTAATTATCAAAGTTTAATTAAGCACCTCAAACTCCCCATTTAAAGCTAAAAATAACCATTTTTTACGCGAGTTCTCCAAGTACATAGAAAAGTTTTCCACAGAAATCCGTAACGTTTTCCAGGAACCCCGTGACAGTTATCATAAGAACTCCAAACAAGTTATCATAAGAACTCCATCCTTCGTGTAACACTTCCTCCCCCGTGTTACCGGTATTCTTTTATATAAACAAACGCCACCGACACCTTTCCTTTTCAGACGCTGTTTTCAGGAAAGCTTTCAGTGTTATGATTCACTTTTCAAAGACAATATTGCCCCTAATCACTTAGCTTGTAACTACACAGAATTGTTTTTCCTGAAGATAATAATTAAAAGCTGAATACCGTTTTAAAAGTCGCGTTCTTTATTGTTTTAAAAAGACACGTTCAAATGATATTTCATCCAACAAAGAAAATGGTATCAGGTTATAACACGTACGAAAATGAAAAGATACATCCTACGTATATACAAACAAGCAACGAAGCTCTTTAGACATGAAATGAATGGGGATAATTTTACCAATTTACTTTAAAGCAGTCTTTAGCTTTTATTTTTATTTTGAAAAAAAATTTAGTGTTGTTCCAGACTATTAAATATTTCAATAATTTTATTTTGGAAAAATGCATCATATCACTGTTCAAAACAGCGTACGGAGAGCTATTCATAACGCGCCAGTGACGTCAGTTTCTAAAAATAGAAGATCGGGAAACGAAAATCAATTAACAAACATGAGTTGAGAGAGGACAGGTATATTAGAGGCATCGAGTGGTTTCTTAATTCTTTATTGATTTCATTTTTTTTATTTTCCACCTTAATTATTTTTATTTGGCAACTATATGAAACGATTTATCGCAAAATAACATATTTTAACATATCTCATAGCTTAAGGTTGCTTTAAAACTCCCTTTTGGTAGACTTTGATGTGAAAAGGATTAAACATTTCAACTTCCGGGTAAAACATACTTACTCGTATCTTTTTAAATTCTGATATAATAACAACTTGTGTTCTCAACATATTTAATATTCAGTTTTCAATTCATTTAATGATATCTTTCTTTTTCTTCGTTCTTTAGGGATTCTGTTTCTTTCCTTTTGTTGTTAATATGTCTTCATTTTTCAGTGGCAAACCATGCTACCTACACAGTGACGGTGTGTAACAGCCGTGACGATGTCATTAATGGTAAAGGAACATTGTGTGGCTCATACTATGGTCCGGATTCTTACACACATCCTTTCATCTTAACAGTAACATGTGAAAACACCGTCTTTGGTAGATTCCTGAGAATAAACAAGGATACGGAAGCTTTTTGCTTATGTGAAGTATTTGTTTATCCCCCAAAGTAAAGGATTTGGTTTCAAAACATTTCAATTTGAAAGCAAAACAATGCATAAGGTAGTGATCCTGACTGGGAGAAATTAAAAGAAAACACATTACATGCGAGAAGAGATTAAATTGAAATGAAATCTTTAAACAAGAATTATCTATCATAAAATTACTATTATTTGGAATGGAAACCATTTATTTTCCTTGTTGTTTTATCATTTCTATAGGGAGACTATTGATTATGTTAGAAAACATGTGTCTTCTCCCGTTTATGGTTCGGTGGCTTCTGATGCCCTGCTTGTGTGGCTGGGTTGACCCGGGGGCTACGTTCTGTGTACGTTGCCTTGCACTTGTTGATCTTGGTTCTCATAATTTAATAAGTGATGTTTCGAAGAAAAGTGCCCCGCACGTCTAGCATTGATTTGGACAGAATTTGACACCTTTTTACTTTAATAAACTCCCCTTTCCTGTTTATGCATTCAACGTTGTTATATTTTCATCCGGCGGTCATTGTTTGTTGCCCTCCTTCATCACCGTGCATATCCCATAACGCTGGAATGTGCAATTAACGTAAAAGTAACGCCGAATCTGTGCAACGCTATCGCCAAAACGAATAACACAGAAAGTAAACGAACCAAAATATTTTATTCTAAATCAAATTTAAAGAAATGAATAAGCACATACGGCTGCTTCGACATTATACTTAAACCAGCATTACAATTTTTGTTAGTAATTATTACTTTTTAGATCATTCGTGAGAAAGACAACCTGATTACTGTTTTGAACGTGATTTTTTTGTTGTATTTTTTCAAATGAATATGTACATTTAAAACATTTAAAACTTTATTTTTTTCATATTCTGTATACGTAAGACATTTGTCAAACTAAAAGTTTTGTATAACCATAGAAAGAAGCTGGTAGAATAGGATTTAGCGACTTTTAATGAGATAACCTCCTTCATTCACAAATTCGGCGTTACCTCGTAAAATGGTCTCAATTACGTTTTATCTGCTAAATTACGTATTATATGACACGAGTAGATTGGAAAATGTCTCAGTTACACCGAATATAAAAGCTCATAAAGTAATATGTACTTTATTGTAGTTAAAGTTATTAACAGACCAAAAATCGCCATCAATACACTAGTCAGGTCGTCATTTTCACGAATGTTCTTGAAAAATAAACACTTTCATGGAAATATTTTTGATGAGGTTTAAAGCATAATGTCTCAGCTAACTCATTTCTTCCAATTCGGTGTACAATAAAAATATTGTTTCATTTTCTTATCGCGGTGCTCGTTTTAGCCACTAAATTGCGCAATTCTGTGTTACTTTTGCATAATTCCAGCGCTATTTGCACATTTCTGCGTTACTGGATATACACGGTGCTCATGTCCTGTTCGCATACCCCATTGACTTTGTTCGGTGCCTTCTAGGTGCCGTACTTGTGTGGCTGGGTTATGTGGGGAGTGCATCCCATTAACGTCGCCTTGTCTTATTGGTCTTTTTTATGATTTCAATCGTGCTGTGTGTACCGTGTGGCGGCTGTGAAATGTCTCCTCGTACATGCAACTTTGAGGTATTTAAATTAACACCCCGTCTGTGCTTTAACTTGTGTCCTGTCCTTATTTTGTTAGGTATCCTGCTGGACTTCTTCTCGGTGTCCTGTGTTGCTGGGTTGTGCTAAGGGATGCGTTCATTACATGGCACCCTTTCTTGTTTGATCTTTTTTTCATCCACAAGGAATTCTCCGGCGTTCATTGTTTATTGAACATCTTCATGTCCCCGGTCCCTTCTAGGTGTCCTGCTGGAGTGGCTTTGTGTGTCTGGGGTTGCGTTTTCTGATTTGCCCCTTGTGGCTTAGGGTTTGTCTTTACGAGTTGAATAATGAGAATTGAAACCACAGCTTAACCCTGCGTGATCGGTAATAGGCGACTAAATGTATTCCAATTACTGGAGTCTATGCATTTCTTAGCTCCAGCCAGCAGGGGAGATGGTTTTGACACTTTGTATTGCTTTAAGTTTGTAACGCCCTAGTTTAGCCAAAATCATGTTTCCTATTTGGGCGCCATATGACCTAAATTGTGTTGATAAATAAAAAGAAATCTTACTTACTCCTTTCGGGATCTTCTTTTTCTTGCATGTTTGCCATTCAAATATTTTATTTTTGAGAAAAGAAAAGACCAAGTACCATTTGAATTGATTGGTTTGATTCGATGTTGTTATGGATATATTTTTATTATTTCCATATATTTCCTGATACTGTTATTAATCCCGCTTTGGTTTTCACAGTTACTGGTTTAATTTTGAAGATGTATATATTTGTTATTCAAAATATTTGTTTGTGAGGTGTGAAATACGTTTAATTCGTTGCAAGGTTGATTTTTAACAATTTGTTTGAATAGTGCATGCATTGAGTCTTTAAATTATTACATCTACATTGTGTGAGCGATGAATTTGCCTTTGATACTAAGTGTTTTAAGTGTTGTATACAGAACAAAAAGTCTCTTTCAGTTTTTATGCCCCCAATATTGGGGGTTGGGGCATTTACATTCGCCCTTGTCCGTGCGAGGGTTCTCATGTTTTGTCCCGTGCAGTTTTAAAAGTGATTGAGCTAGAGTCAACTGTCTTTACGTAAATGTTGACTTGCATTTGAATTTGTGAATTAATTAATTATTGCTTGCCCTTGACTTAGTTAAGTTTTTACCATTGACTTAGTAAATGTTTGTAATTTTCAACGCTAAACCTAAAAGGTAATTGAACTGGAGTCATGAAACTATACACGAATATTGCATGTGTAGTTCGGCACCTTGGGGTTTGCTTTTGTTGTTGTTGTTTTTTCCCTCCAGAATTTGCCCATCGCTTAGTACAAATGTGCAAATTTCAACTTGTTGGTCAGCATGTGTAGTTGTGTGCACCTAGGGTTTCTTTGTGAACAATTAAGTATTAATATAGTTATTGTTCTTAACTTAGTTATTTTTTCAGTTTAAAACTTGTGTCGTGCGTAGTCAAAAATGTATTTGACATAGAGTCATAACACATTACAGAAATGTTATTCAGCTTGTGAAGCTGTGCACCTAGGATTTTCCGTATGGATTAATTTTTCATTGCTAGAGCTATTGCTTTTGACTTTATATCAATTTACAATTTTCAAATTGTGTCGCACGTAGCTCGAAAAGTTGGGTTCTGCTTGAGGATTTATTTGCCTTGATTTTAGTAAAACATTAGTTTGAAATGGTGTCGCACGTAGCCCAGTATGTATGTCATCTATAGTCATAAAACTGTGCGAAAATGTTGGTCAGCATGTGTAGTTATGCACCATGCTGTTTGCTTGACTGGTTTTTAAATCAGATTTGCAAAGTACTTGTCCTTAACTTAGTCAGATACCATTCCAAAATGTTGTCTCATAGGTATCTCATATAAAATTGCTTGAGCTAGAATCAACAAACTTGACAAGAATGTAAATGAGCATATAAAGCTGTGCATAAGAAATATTGTGTGTGCATTAATTCATTTTTTAGAGTTATTTCACTTGACTTAGTATGAATTTGCAATTTTCAACTTCTGTTGCTCGATACTTAGAAGTATTTGACCTGGAGACATGAAACATTACATGAATGTTGGTAAGCATGTGTACTTATTCACTTGTTGTTTGATTGTGGATTTATGCAGTATGAGTTATGATCCTTTACTTATTAAAAAAAAGAAATTTTTAACTTTAAATATTGTCTTGAATAACTCAAAAGATTTGGTCTTAGAGTTATGTGTAACTAAAGAAATTGACCTGGTCATGAAATTCATTTACAGAACTGTAAGTAAACATGTGTAGTTGTGCATCTGGGGTTTTGCTAATTTTATTTCCATTAAAGCATACTTTAAGAAATGAATGCATATATTTTGATGATTACTTATAATGCGAATAAGCATTTGCAGTGCATATTTAACATATTCTTGGATGTTTAGAAATTGTTTTAGAAGAATAATGATAAACATAATATAAAATTTCAGTTAAGTGTTGTTACATCCTTAATTACAACATACAAGATGTTTAATTTGTTCAATACCATGGTATACCAGAGTTTAAAACAATGTTTTTGGAAGCGATATTGTCACAAAATTTTATACGAAAGGCTATAAATTCGTGTAGATTTTGAGATAATATGTGTTGATATTGCACACCCAACAGACATCTTTACTTTTTATATCTTTATATGTTGTAAGCCGAAAAAATAAATATATATGTTGTATGTTTGTATTTCGTTTTTTGTTGTTATTTTCGACTATTATGAAGAGCATTTTGGGTCAATTTTGACATCGCAAACGATTTATTTGTTACAACTTTGATGTTGCAATAAGACCCGTTGAGTTTTAATAATTAATAACAAGAGCTGTCGGTAGGACAGCACGCTCGACTATTCTAAGTGCTTGATAGTAAAAGAACCTTGATAATGTTATTTTTTTTTAAGTTCACAAAAGGGCTAATTTTTTTTTATAAATTCATGTTATAGGCCTTAGAGAGAGTCTAATTATACAGTATTGGCTTGACTATTTGGAAGGTAATGTCACAAGGGTGTTTTATTGAGTATAATAATACTAATTACCTATGAATACATAAATTTGACAGAAAAGGTACAAAGGCTTGCTATTAAGATGTTTTATCAAGTAAATCACTGCTTTATCATTATGAATGCATAAAATTGTCCAAAAAAGGCACAAACCCTTCAGTAGTTATTGAGATAACAGCTTACTAGCAAAACTTTACCATGAATTTCTAAGTTGAAAAAGGGGAGAAAAATCAGCCTAAATGCAAGATAGAATTACGGATCTTTGTCAGTGACCTACAATTATGATCCTAAATGCATATGTGAAGTTTTAGATAAATATCTTTAATAGTTATTGAGATATGTAAAACTTGCATGTAAATATTACCCAAGAGACTAAGTAGAAAAGGGGATATGAATCAGCCTTAATGCAAGATAGAGTTATGGAACTTGGTCAGTGACATACAATTATGACCCTCCAATTATGACCCTAAGTGCATGTGTAAAGTTTCAAGTAAATATCTTTGAAGACCTTTAACCTTTAACCAAAATTTCTAAGTTTTAAAGGGGCAAATAATTCTTCAAATATTGCAGGCAGAGTTATGCAATTTTGCAAACTGATGTACATTGTAACTATAAAAAAGTATTTCAAATTTCAATTGAATATCTCAAGCAATAATTGAGAAATTTGACTTTACTAAAAAACTTTATCCAAAATTTCAAAGTTCCAAAGGGGCATAATTCTGTCAATATTGTAGGCAATGTTATCTTACTTGTCAATCTGATGTACCTTGTTACTATAAATAAGTATTGTAAGTTTCAATTGAATATCTCAAGCAATAATTGAGATATTTGACTTTACAAAAAAACTTTAACCAAAATTTCTAAGTTAAAAAGGGGCATAATTCTGTCAATATTATAGGCAGAGTTATCCAACTTGTCAATCTGATGTACCTTGTTACTATAAATAAGTATTGTAAAGTTCAATTGAATATCTCAAGCAATAATTGAGATATTTGACTTTACAAAAAAACTTTAACCAAAATTTCTAAGTTAAAAAGGGGTATAATTCTGTCAATATTGTAGGCAGAGTAATCAAACTTGTCAATCTGATGTACCTTGTTACTATAAATAAGTATTGTAAGTTTCAATTGAATATCTCAAGTAATAATTGAGATATTTGACTTTACACAAACCTTTAACCAACGCAGACGCCGGGGCGACTACAATAGCTCTCATATTCTTCGAATAGTCGAGCTAAAAACGCTAATCTTAATTTGTCGTAGCTTTCGGCCTTGTCGCCTTCTTTCAAGCACGTTTAATACTAAACATACAAATATAAACACACAAAACAAGGGAAGTGATTGAATGTCCTTAAGCGACGTCCGTCGTGGCGTTGTTTGTGGTCTGGCGCTTTATTCTTTAGTATTTACCTGATATGGTCTGTATGTTCATAATTTATTTTTCCAGAGTTTCTATTATCTTTTGGTATTGGTCATTCTCGTACAGTTTTGTCAATCCCATTATCGAAAAATCACTGACTGTGTGTTTAATTAATGCTGCTGAAGAATGCCTAATGCCAAAAGCTACAGCAAATTTAAATTAGCGTTTTTATTAACATATTATATATGGCAGGTTAGAGATTTTATTTTATGAATGGACCGCGTTAAAATGACGTCATTTTAGAAAGGAACTATGTGCTTAGGATGGCGTCATTTCGCCGTTGTTATTGAAGTTGTAAATTCATACGCTATTGTAAGAAAATTGTTATGGATGAAATGACATTAATTTCCATGAACAAATATCTTATTGAGGTAAACCATTTTAAATATGAAATAATATAGCAGAATATGCAAGAAAAATATATCTGACATATGTTTGCGGTTCGAATCAGAATATCCGTCCCACGGGAACCCGCCATAGGGCGGTACTTCGGCAAGTCTCGTTATACATGTGACGTAACCGCTAAAATTGTGACGCCTGAAAATAAGTACGGAAACAAAACCAGGCGCAATTCAGCTTATTATCAGGTACGGAAGCATTTATTTGTTGTTGTCGTGTTAGAATCGAAATAATATATCCAAATCAGTGATTTTATCGTTTGATAAAATCAAGGTTTGTCGTTCGGATGCGCATCATTATATCATTTTATATAATTCCTTGCATCCGAACTCCAACAGTATAAAAATCCTCCATTTTCGCATGTATTTGAAGTTGATGCATTTTGACTTCTCAATTTCTCTTTTGACAACATGCCTAGTAGAAACTTACTGTATGTGAAGAGGAAGGTGGATCTCAACTCAACTTTTAAAGGAACTCGATCACTAAGCCTTAAAACATAAAGTTTCAATTCCTCACAATTAAAGATCAACTGTGACATTTCAAACAGAGATATAAGTAAAATATAAATAAGATATATACTCAGACAAACATTGAAAATCAGTATGTTTCTGCTATTCTCAGTCTGATTTCTGTGAAAAGTGTTGCAACATTTTTCAATTTTTTTTTCACAATTAGAATAATTATTCTGGATAAACGGAGCGAGCTAATGATCTGAAATTGCGCACATAAGTTGTTGGTATAGACCTACATCAAATCGAGCAATAATCTCGAAAAATTATTTCCAGTCCCGTCATGTCAAAAAACCTCAGTGGAGTCCCTTTAATAAACGTCACAGGAGCAAGGGGGCTGTAAATGTGTAAATGTTCTAAACACAACAATAAAATCAAAATGTGCAAAGAAAAGGCAGATAAATAATTAAAGAAGCGTGTATACAGTATGATCCCTTTATTTCCAATGATTTTTTTTAATGTATTAAATTACATAAAAATGTGCCAGACCAAAAATAAGATATGAAAAATTCTTCTCCGGCTTCAAGTCAATGAACTGTGTTGTTGTTACCTCCCTTGGAATCATTTTCAACAATGGGATTTTTATTAGTGAAAACAAAACAAAAAAACTTCAAAACTTAATTTTTTTATACATTAAAAAGGTACAGATTTTTTTCTTTCAAGAAAATACTATTCCTTGAGAGTATTTATATATATCATATATTAATAGGTTAACTTCATAATAAAAGATTAAACTTATTAGGTAGATAGATACTTATATATGTATATAAAGATTACAATTGTGCAGTTAATTGCCAAGAAGCAGAAAAGAAAATGAGGTGTTGTCTTAAAGAGTAATATCATACTTTGAAATTAATACTTTAAAAATTTCCATTAATATAACATGTAGTGTTGTCCAATGAATATCGTCAAATTTTCAAAATTAACAGTAAAACAGTATAATTTTGTTGTCACAGATTTTTTTGTAAGGCAATTGTTCACCGAAAAAACAACAAATGCAATGCTGTGTACTTAACTGTTAGGGATTGGACAGAACATGTTGATGTAATCAATATTATACTAAAGTCATGAAAACTGTTGTAAAAGTTCTGCTTTTACTATCTGTCTACTTTTTAACTTAATAAAAAACACAACGTTCAGAGTACTCACTATTACAAAACCAACTATTTACAGAGGAAGAAAAAAACAACATATCTATCGAAAACAAATAGTAAACATAATTATAACTTTACATCAACGTTCCTAATTTCACTTAAGTGTATTTCAACATACTTATGTTGCAAATCTTCAAAATCAGAGTTACACGCAATGTTTTGAAAGCCACGTCTGTTTATTTCAAAATATATGTTACAAAGCGTAAGAAAGCAAATTCTATAACACCATTAGAAAGTACAGTCCAACCCCGTTTATTCGAAGTGCCTGGGACTGAATATTTACTTCGAATAATCGATGGGTTCGAATAATCGAAATCGGAATATTGTGATAGACGAAAACTACTCCAATCATAGCAAAACTACCTTTTACAACACACTTACTTCCTGTAATCAATTGAGAAAAATAAATATTTAAGAAAAGATGCGTAAAAATTATTGTATTGACATTGAAGACATAAATAATTGCATTTTATTCTACATTATGTATCGTTTCGTTTCGCGCAAAGCCTTGATAATGGCCGGTTTTTACAGCTAAACTCTGGTATTTTGGATTAGGATAGAGGCTCTCATGTAGCGTTACAATTAATGAAAAAAATGTTTTGGATGTCTTGACAAACTTATATATAGAAAATTATTGCTATCATCTTCAGGCAATAACAGTAACAAAATCGGACACGGTGCATTGCTTTTCATTTTCGGTAAACACAAAGAGTTATTATCATGATTGTCTAATTACACGCATGACTGTTGATATTTTTCACAAGTTGACCGGTCAGCGAGTGGATCTGCGCCAATAAGTCTGGCTTCGAATAATAATTAGGCTGGATTCGAATAATAGGTGTGAAATTTTTTCATAATTGTAAAATCGGGACCGAAATTTTACTTCGAAAAATAGGAGGTATTCGGATAATGCATTTCGAATAATACGCTCGTATTTATATTGATTTTTAATAGAGATAAAAACGGGACCGCCGACCTACTTCGGATAATGCCGGGTATTCGAATAAAGGGTTGTCGAATAACCGGGGTTGGACTGTAACAACAAACCATGGAAACAACAGTATAAATAACAACAAAAAAAGTAATATCAAAAGAAATAGCCCACTCTGCATTGATACAAGTAAAGTATTTAGATTTAATTCTTCACTGGATTTTTTTTGTTATTAAGATCAAGCTAAAGTTGTTAAGATAAGACCCTTGTAACACCTTTAATAACAAAACTCTACTGAAAGTCTTATCTTACATGAATACCTGCCATGAGGGTATACAAAAGTTTGGTATCATTTGTGCTTATAATAAACTTTTTTTACATCAAAAAACCTACCAACATGTCTGGACATAAACTTACTTTGTGCAAGGATGGTTTAAAATATTCTAAATTTTATGTATTATGAAGATGCAATACTATAAGTCCCCTTCCTTTTTGAACAACTTCTGTAATATCATAAATAGTATGTATGAATTTTATTTCAAATGTCATCATGAAACCACCATACCACCATGTGTTGAAACTTTGTCAACATATTAATAAAATTTTTTAGGACAAACATTTCAAGAGTGATATCACATATTGTTATAATTTGTATATTGTAAATGTCAAAATATACTATATTACAGCAAGATGGACTGTATGTAAAGAAAAAAAGAGAAAAGTAATTTATAAAGGTGTAGAAACAGGAACTTTTTCCAGCTGAAAAAAATACTGTGCAACATGCCATTTGATAGTAGAAGAGAACGTCAATTAATTTGAAATGCAGTCAACTAAAAATGTTCTCAACAAAAACCAACAATCCCATAATGTGTTTTATGAAGCAAATGTTTTAACTAATTTATCTATTCATTGTTAACGATGTGTAAAACAAACTTTGAAATTCAAATGTTTAATTAACTATGCAGGTATAACTTTCAAATGAATAATTCATAGCCTATTGAAATGAAATCTGCCTGTAATAAAAGTAGACTTTAGTTTAATGATTTTTCAAAAAGGTCATGATTTATTATACTGGTTTTCAATGCTCCCAGAAATTTCTATGCACACATGCAAACAATGAAGCTTTTATGATTCAAAATTTTAACCACAAGTGATGCATATAAAATTATATTGTTATGCAATCAATGAATGAAATATAAAGCCTTATTTTATATTTTCAACCCCTAAAAAGCAAAAAGCAAAATGCAAATGTACATGTGATACAATCATTAACCCATAAAGTGAGAAAAAAAGTAGTTCCAAAATAAATCCCCTCATTTACATATTCATACAGTAAAAGGTCAGAGGTTAGACTCTGAAGGTAATATGTTATAATTTGAAGGTCACAGTGGTGAAAGGTTACACTTTGAAGGTCAGTTGTTAAAAAAAATCATTATTTGAAGATCAGAATTTGTGTTTTGAAACTCAGATATTAAAGTCTGGAGGTCAGAGGTTATACTTTTAAGGTCAAATGTCACACTCTCAAATAAAAGGCAACTTTGACTCAAGCTTAGGCAAAACACGAAAAAGGAAAGAAATATCTAAACATTATGCCATTAAAAAAACTTACAAACAAAATAAACATAAGGGAATAATTCTAGAAAATTTACTAAAGCACTTTTTCTCAGCATATATGTAAGCTTTAATGCCTCTACCATTAGCTATAACAAACTTTTAGCAAAAAAAGAAATATAGTAATATTTATCCAAAAGAAATAATAAATGGGTAAAGCAGATTAAAATATTTACAACAAACAAAATTTGGTACCATGGTAACCAAACTTCCCAAAAACATATCAATTGCACATTGACAGAAATCACAGTTAAAAAGGGAAACAATATCATTCAGCAAACTTTCAAACATAACAACAAGGGAGGACACTATTTCATTCCTCGTAACAATCAACCAGAACTAATTACCTCCCTTAGTTCCAGAAATAGAAAATGACAAATGATAACCAGTATATCCCAATGATATACAATATCCCATAGAATTGTGATTTTATTTTTAATTTTCTAGCTAATCATCTGAATGGAAAGTATATTTACTGTTAATTAGTTTCAAATAAGAGCCTTAAGGATAACATTTCCAGTCTAGCCATTATTTAGACTGGTTATTTTTCACTTTTTGACTGGCTGTCTTTTTGTATTATTAGACTGGTTATTTTTCACTTTTCGACTTATCTTTTTTATTATTTAGACTAGTTATTTTTCACTTTTGGACTGGTTGTATTATTGCATTATTTAAACCGGTTATTTTTTTCACTTTTTGACTGGTTGCCTTTTGAATAATTAGTCTGGTTATTTTTCACTGTTTGACTGGTTGTCTTTTTTTATCTATTTAAATATCATGACACATCAGATATAAACTGAATTTTTTTTTAATGAAATAAACTTTATTCTTTTCTTTTCCTATTTCAATCTTTTGTTTTTCTATAATCTAATATTTTGTCAAAATGAAACTATTTTTATACCTTCTCAATACATTATCATGATTTTATTTACCTACAGTTTTAAAGTTTTAGTATGATTATAAGTCTTATTAAATTATAAAAAAAAACATGCAGTCAACAAGTATAATTATCAACAAAAGAACTTTAATTAGAAATGCTTGCAACATAAAAATTTCACAAATAGTTCAAAGAATTATAACATTTGATATGATACAATCATTTCTATTTCAAGTTGTTACTTTTTTCACCAAATTAAAATATCCTTTATTTCTGACAATTTTTTTTTTTTTTCATTTCTTAAGCAATTTTTTAGACTCAAGTAAAAGATGGTGTGAATTTCTGTATATAAATATTGTTTTAAAACTGAGTTCTGTAAATTTTAAAATTTGATGATTTTTCTTTTTTTTATATCACATAACATTGTCTAGAATAAAGGAGATTTATTTTTTTCCCACAATTTTTGCTTCGTCTGTTATGGCCGCCTGTTTAGTGCACCCCTGGGGAAGGTGGAGGTGGATTTCCAGGATCCTGTAAAACATGAAAAAAATACATTACAGCAATGTAAAGACAAAACATAGTATATGCATGATCATGAATGTTGCCGTGTAAAAATCCTGAAATTTAGAAAATAATTTTGTTTCTAGAGAGCACAAGGTTCTGTTACTTCAGGTAATTAAATTAAGACTGTATTGTATCAACCTTAAAGGGACTCCACTGAGGTTTAAAAGTCTAAAAACATAACATTTGAATTTCTTATATAAATGAGCTGGGGCACTTTAAACAGGAATATATGCAAAGATAGTTAAGAAATATACTTTGCAATATAATTGAAAATCGTATTTTTATTCTTTTTTTAGCCTAATTGGAGTGAAAAGCATTTAAACGCTTTTCAGTTTGGGTCAAGTTTTTACAATTTGAATAATTATTCTGGAAAAACGGTGTGCGCGAATGATCTAAAATTTTGCACAAAGATTAGTGGTCTAAACCTACATCAAATGGAACAATTATCTGGAAAAAATATTTTCAGTCCCATCATGTCAAAAAACCTCAGTGGAGTCCCTTTAAGCTCAGAAATTTTATTCCGTAGGCGCAGCAATTACTGAGGTCTACTGTCCTCAGTATTGCAAGTTTGAGACCTCAGTCACTCAGTGTCACAGTATGACAAATGATGAAAAGCAAAATTTACCTAATCAGACAGATATTTTTAAGCAAGAAAAGCACAAATGGACCTTTTTGCGCATTAATCAACACCTGAAGAAGCCTTTAGACTTATTTAATTCCTCCCTCTTCAGACTCAGACTTTAAATGAATACTCAAGGTAAATAATTCACTAGCAGGGCATAGAGTTCTATAGCGAAAAAAGAAAAAGTAATAATCAGTTATTTGTCATTCAGCATAAAATCTAACAATATTGAGAAGCATGCCCTTGGACTGCCTAGAATTTTGACCACTTAGTTATACCTGCGAATAGAAATATCACAGTATGCTACATGATTGTATATTACTTTATAATTTGTAGTTTGTGGTATATTTTCATATGCCTTTTTGTCTATACACCACAATTCATATTCACCACTTAAAGGGAGTTAACCCACTGAGAACTGATGGCCTTTTACAGTTTTATGCACATAAATGCTATTTAAATGGTATTTAGTGAAAGAAAAATCTTAAATCATTTACTATTATGACAGCATATAAATCCATCACATGGACAAACCAACAGCAAACTTTTACCATATTTAAATGGTATAAATAGTAAAAAAATAACAAAGAAAAAAAATTAAGTTCAACATAAACATGTACATCTTAGCTATATTTTCTTCCTGGTTGTTTAACTGGTTTAAATGTTATCTGTAGACACATCACCTGGCAGATAAGGACATTTTTGCTGCTTTATTAAAAAGGAAAAAAATAAATAAATAGAGGATATTCAAGTTTTTTCTATAAATGCAGGATTTATTCTCATGAAGTGGTATGCATAAGTGGCAGTAGCCACAAGTGAAATATGATAATTTTCATATCACATGATGAAAATGAATCCTGTGTTATAGAAAAAACTTGATGTTCTGTTGATAAAATACATTTTTTCTCTTTTTTGCCATCACTGTTAAACTTTCCCTTAAATTTTATATATTGGCTGAATTTAGCAGAAAAAAGCCTGGCAAGACACGAGTGAAAAAAAACAAAAAAAAATTTCACTGCAGTGAAAGTATGGGAAATATGCTTACTGCTGTGAAAATACGGAAAATGAAAATTCGCATTTTATTTCAACAAAATTTCCCAATATTTCATTTATAAGAATATGATAATTTAATTTGCATTTTATTTCAACAATATTTCTCAATATTTCATTTATACGAATATGATAAATATATTTACATTGTTTGCAGGTTTTGTGTCACCAAGGTTACGCAAATTTCGTGGTCTGAACAGGAAGAGAGCTGTTGCCATGACTAGCCAACCGAACAACATCAACATCATTGTGTTAAACCCACCATCAGGTGCTTGGTCCCCTCCTGGTACTACAATAAATATACGTACAACATCTACTTGATCAGAAAAGCATCACGTCACAAAGAATGTGTTAATTGTACAGAACTAAAATTCTTGAGTTATAATATTGGGCTATGTTTTTCGGCGAAGAAATGATTTACCCTAATAAACCTTATTCTCTTTTCCAAATATCCCTTCAAACAGTTTATATGAAGAAATTACAACTGCTTGTTGAAATCAAGAAGCCCATGCAGTTACTTTTTTTCAATTTTCAAAACAACCTGTGGCTTTCTGAAGGGGGGGGGGGAGGATATAGCATGATATCTCAGAAAAGGGGGAAAGGGTTAATTTGAAAATTTTGAAAATTCAAACAACTGGAATTAACCCACACATTTTATAAAATTTTCAATAATCATACAATCTAACATGCATGGTACATACATGAAGCATATGCTATCTTTTATGGCATCTTTCTGTCAATTAAATTAGTTGATATATATATTGTAAGAAAACTGCTGCTAAGTCATGGTTCTGTTAATGAATGTGCACAGGGCATTTCAAGGGAAAATATTAGCATTTTTAGATACCTATTTTGGGCTAAGGGAAACAGCCTTCTATTTTTCTATATTCATGTAATTCTACCCTGCCAGCTAGTGCAGATCAAGATCAGTCAGCTAATCTATTCCAACTAATCATAATCTGCACTCTTTGCTTTTAAATCAATTCTAGTTTACCTAAAAATGATGAATGGTTTTGTCCACAATGAAATATGGACAATTCTATTTAAATGGTATGGGTTAATGTAAAAACTTCGATAAAATTGATTTGGTCTCCATTCTAAAACACTTTGAATATGCCTTGACGTATCATTTCCTTAAAAAAACTGACAGATATTGGCTACCTGGTGTTTAAATGTGGCTATCATAAAATTGAAAATCAATACACAGTTGTTTTAACATGTATGAATACTGTCTGTATATGTAAATACATTCATAAATAAGCAATAACGCTCACAGGAACAGAACAGCTGTTAGTTTATCGATAAAAGTGACAAATGAACATTGATTTTATCATTATCAAGATAAAGCTTTGTCTATTATTTACCAAGGCATTTGAATATTCATCAATTTTGAATCAGTTTTCATTTTTTAAATAAATTATTAATATTGGAATATTCTAAGCAATGTAAAATATCATGTATAATGGGTTGCTTAACACAGTACTTCAACCCACACCATCATAAATCCGTATAAAAGGTCTGTGTTGCTGTAAAGTTGGAATTGTAACTAGCCGTTCAGTTAGCTCAATAGGTAAAGTGTTGGACTGTGAATCGAGTGACCTGGGTTTGATTCCGGGCCGGCACAGGTCACTTTCATTGCGATTGATCATGAAATCTTTTCTATGGTCATTCCCACTGTACCTCTGCTCTGGTATGTGCAGAAGTTTTAGTTCCTTGAGAAAGTGAAGGCAACTAGTACTGGTAAACTGCTTGATAACCTTCCCATGAACGATGGGGTGGCTGAACTGTGCTCTGGTGAATCCAATGTGGCTTATTGCCGTGTGATCCGGAGTGAAAAACCAAAGTTGGAATGATCCATTATTTCTCAGGAGATATCATTAATATCATAATGGTAAAATTGAACAACCAACAATTAAGTTGTGGTGGTGTTCGGATCACAGCAGTAAGCCACATTGAATTTACTAGGGCCCAGTCCAGCCACCGCATCGTTCCTCGGCATCCTGTCAAGCAGTGTCAAGCAGTGTAACAGTACTAGAGCCGTCACTTTCGCTAGGAACTGATAACTTATGTACATGCTACTCCAGAAGTACAGTACAAATTACCGAGGAAAGGATTTTATGAGCAATAACAACAAATAGGACCTGTGCTGTCTGAGAATCAAACCCTGGTCACCCTAATTCACAGTCCAACATCCTATCTATTCAACTAACTAGACGGCTCAACAGTTAAGTCTTGTCAGACTACAGAGATATGTGTACAGGTTGGCATAGTTCTATTCTATTGGCATACATTTAAGTAAGTCATCATTTGGAACGGTCTATCATTACTAAGGTCATAACTAAATGGTAAAATAACCAAATTGATACTTAAAGTTAGCCTGTGACAGCGAATCTGTAAGATGGCCAGGTTTTAAACTGTAGGTTCATGTATAGGGAAACCAATTTGTCCCAAACATTCAAATTGTTACACAATGTTCTCTTCATGTCTTCACTCTTTAATAAGTGTGATTGAATATCAGATATTTATGGTGATGATATAGAAGGTTCCCATTCACGTCTAAAATAATGTGCAATGTGACACACAATGTCTTTCTCCATCAATTAAGCTTCAGTGTACATGATGACCAGTGTACATGATGACCAGTGTACATGGTGATAATGATTAAAAACACCATATGTGTATAACTTTCATTTCTGTTAGGGTGACCAAAAACATGAATTGCCCTTCAACTATACTCCCCCCTCCCACCGTTCCTCACACTAGAGATGAGAAATGAGATAAATAGAGATGAGAAATGAGATAAATTACTCACATTCGTTGAAGCATTGTGTATCTGTGCAGGCATCTTGTGAATTCCTCAGCTGTAAAAATAATAAAATAACATATATAAATAAAAATATTAATTACAATTTCACTCGTTTTCTATGCAACTATTAAATACCAAAATAATTTCTGAAGATATCTTATTGTTATTGTAATATTCATTGCTAAAATGAAAAAAAAAAAATTTAAAGAGATTATTTCTTGCAGATTGGCAAAATAACAACTTTTTCCTGGCCAGTGAGAAAATAGCATATAAATAATCTCCTTATCTTCAATGACAATTTGTTTATTTTGTTTGTTTAATTGGGTTTTACGTCACACCGACCTGTTATAGATCATATTGCGATGTTTCAGCTTTACTGGCGGAGGAAGCTTGAATTAATTCAAACACGAACAATCACCCGAGTAGAACCACTGACGTTTCGTAAGCTAAATTGAGCTGGGCAGCTTCCTAACATGAAATTATCCAAAGTCCCTGTCAAGATTCGAACCTACAGAGGTGAGGGGCAAGTGGTTTGAAGTCAACGAACTTAACCACTTGGGCAAGGATGCCTTCAATGACAAAGTAATGTCATAATTTCCTCTACTGAATGTTAGAAAATAACATGATAGTTTCCCCATCTACAGTGCGAAAATAACATGATAATTTCCCAATAAATCTACAGTGCCAAAATAACATGGTAATTTCCCAATACATTGTACATGACAAAATAACATGGTAATTTCCCAATACATGTAAATTTACAGTGCCAAAAAATAACCTAATAATATACCCAGTCTACACTGACAGATAAATAGAATGATTTTCCCATATTCAGTGAAAAAGTAAAACAGATACAATTTATTCAGAACTTTGGCATGACAAAATAGCATCAGAATATTCAGTTAATACAGAGTTCCAGATAACGTGCGTATCGGCGTATTTTACGCTTCAAAATCAACTAAAAACACAGAAGGATACCAATTTGTTGCCTTCATTTACGCACGCTGTAAATTAATTACGCAAAGAATGAAAATTTGAAGCGTTTTTGGTGTGTACTTTCATTTTCGAAACAGCTGATATTCCGCTTTCGTTTAACACTCAGTTGACTGTGTATCTTTTCTCCAACTAATACCCGTCAAGATACTTTCAACTATTTTTCTCCCTGTAAACCAGTCTAATTATCTTTATTGTTTAGGTGCTTGATAAAATATATTGTTCTATTTTCTTTATAATTGCACATGTAGTGCGGCTAATCAAATTGACATTTTTTTAACACAACTGGGTTGCTGGCGAAACTATTGTAAACCCTAGTGTATTAAAATGAAAAGAGCTCAAGTTAATGTGAATCATAATATTTATGAATGGAGGCGCCGTAAACATACAGGAATCGGCAATTGATTATCTGCATTGGTTATGTCATTATGTCATTGTCGCCGATTATTGAGTGTAAACAATATAAATATGCACCTGAAAGGCCTTTCAACTGAAATGAAATTCATACTGAATATCTGCTACAGTAAATTTCACATGGTCTTTCAGGGAAATAAATAAAAGATGTTTATTTTGATATTTCCCCTTAATTATCTAAGATATTTTCAAAGAATCAAATTATTTTTAACAAAGGTGAACCGTGTTGTACACATCTTTCATTCTGTTCGCTTCTAATGAAAAATGAAATACCACTAAATCTGTTGAATGCTATTTTAGACTTGTAGAGATTACAATGGACCAAACTTAGTGACTAAGAAATTTTTTTTTCAAATGTATATGAAGAGAAAGATTTATGTAATAAACTTAGTTAGAGAATGGTGTGTTAATTTTAATGTAATAAAAGTTTGGTTCATTAAAAAAAGGGTATGTCCTTTAATTTTACTATGTAGATTTTTGATCTATTTAAATTTACCCCCACATTCTGAAAAGTGGGGGTAATTACCCCGAGTGTCAAAAAAAATATCTGGAACTCTGGTTAATATGACAAAATAATAGGAATTTACCACTAATATGGACAGTGGACACAAAGGGAGCCCACAGGGATATATAAATGGTTACTTGGTCTTGGAATTGGCCAAGATATGAAATTTAACAATGAAAACAAAAAATATTATGAAATTTTTTTATGAAAGATTATAAAATTAAATAATTATTGAAGTTTTGAAATTCACATACAAATAAATACTTAGTAAAAAAACATTTTTATAACATTTCTACTTATATACACCTTGGTTTAAACAATATCTTTTTAAGCTCAATTGCGAAACATAGCAACTTATATTAATTAACTATTCGAGTCCGGTTCCTGGAACCAACCAGTACTGTGTCATATGAAAAAGAACAAGAAGCTGTCGGTTTTTGACAGCAACGCTGGACTATTCTTAGTGCTTTGATAGTAAAAAAAAAATGCTTGAATACAGTTACCTCCTGCTGTTTACAGGTTGGGGTAATGGATGGTGAAACAAGTGTGGTCAAAGTTTCAAGCCATATGTCATGGACTTTGAAAATATTTGAATCTATTAAAAAACTTTAACGTAAATTCTAAGTCGAAAAAGGGGCATAATTCTGTCAAAATGCTTGATACAGTTACCTCCTCCTGTTTACAGGTTGGGGTAATGATGGTGAACAAGTGTGCAAAGTTTCAAAGCTATATGTCAATGGCCTTTGAAAATATTAAAACTATTACAAAAACTTTAACATAAGTGGTTACGCCGACGCAGACGCTGACACTGACGCCGACGCTCGGGTGACTACAATAGCTCTACTTATTCTTATCGAATAGTCGAGCTAAAAATGGTTGTAACCCCAGTAGGGCTCGAACCCATGATCCCTGGGTTGAGAGGCAGAGACTATAACCACTTTGTCACCACTCCCCTTTAATACACTTATTAACTGATAACATTTACTCAGGAGAACACATCCACTTTGAAAATTTATAGAAATGCAAACTCCTCACAGTGATTACCTCCCGTGGCAAACGTCACATGATGATGAAAGTCACATGACATTACATCGAAATTCAAATGTAAAATATCACCAGTTATATATGGAAAATCAAACGTCATTTTTTTTCTTTCTGTTTTTTTTCTAACTTTTTGTAAAACCAAAAAAGTTATCAAGCCTTCAAAATAATGAAAAATAAAATTCAAAAGCTAAAAAATATTAACATAAATTCAAAAGCTAAAAAATATTAAATAACAAAATATTGTTGAAATAATTTGTGGTGGCAGAGATCTCTGAACTGATAAGGGGAGATCACTGCGTAGGAGATTGATAGAAATGGTGAACATTTGCAGGGCAATAAAGAAATAAGGAACATTTGCAGGAAAATAAAGAAAAAAAGAACATTAATTTTGCAGGGCAATTATAAATGAAATAAGGAACATTTGCAGGGCAATAATGAAATAAGGAACATTTGCAGGGCAATAATTAAATAAGGAACATTTGCAGGGCAACAAAGAAATAGGGAATATTTGCAGGGCAATAATGAAATAAGGAACATTTGCAGGGCAATAAAGAAATATGGAACATTTGCAGGGCAATAAAAAACTTCATTACCAGATTCATCAATCTCTGCATGGCATTTTCATGGCTCCATACACATTCGCAGGGGTCAAACCCATCTGCCATTGTTGCTACTGTAAATACTGTTACTGCTGAAAGCAAAAGAAAGAAAAGTCAAAGATGATCAATCACATAGTCTTTAAACTTTAATGTACTGGAACCGAATGTGATGAATGAACTCTCTTTCAGTTCTAAAGAAGTCATTTCAATTGTTTCAGTAAAAAATACACTTTTACAGTCTTTATATTGTCTCCATAGTCTATCAATATTTACTGATCTAGAGACCAAATAAGACTGTGGATCAGCCATATTCATTTTATTAAAAAGTTATCACAGAATTGATTTTTTTCACAATGAGGACATATCATGTCCATAGAAGAAATAGTTTATAATACAAATTTAAAATGAATCACTGGTATTATTATACATTCAGAGGGGTATTGAATGAATTTTTGATTTAAACAAGTAACAAGATGTGATTTTTGAAGAACTGAAAGATGTTCTCTGATTTGAACCATTTAAATTGATTAAAACAAGCAACAGTGTTGCCGATAAATTTTCTTTGCGTAAAAATGACAGTTAAAATTAGGTGTTATGGTTACGAGGTAGGAAAAAGTAATATACATGTCTGTATACCATCACAGATATATATACAATGGATAGGAAGCTCCGAAAATCAAAGATAGTCAGATTCAGACCCACAATCCTTTGTCACTTCGATGATAATTGGGTTTTCCACGCTTAACTCAGATTTTCGCGCTCTCGTTAAACTTCGGCAATATCAGTGAACTTTTGTTTTCATAGCCGACATGGATTTTTATCAGAAAAATATTTGTAATGAAAAGTGTGTATTGAACGTTTTACGATTAATAACTATTGCTTCCTATATAAGCAGAAAATGTTTCGTCTTTCTTGCAGATGTACTGTACCTCAGGGAATTCAATATGGCGGTATTTTGGCTACTTTTACCCAGGATGCATCAAATCTCGGAAAATCCTGCGACATATCATAACTTATGTGAACTCAATTTCGCCGATACTGAATTTAACTGTGTGACATCACAGTTTCTCCTCCATGTATATTTAGCTCTATGACACCATTAATTAGGCTAGGGAATAAGTTGACCAAGACACTTGTTGACAAAAATGTAGCTAAAGATACTTCAGAGAACAGGTTTCATAGTACTGCTAGACCTGTTCGCTGAAGCCAATCCCGTATCGAAAGTCAACAAGACCTGTGACATATTTATGTCATGCTGTAATTCAATCAATTTGCATTATCTGGACAAAAGCTATTTTAATACAGGTAGTTAGATATATTTTGTACTCTTCAGTCTATATTTTTGAACAGAGAAGGTTAGATTGATGAAACAATGTCTTAAAGTGTATCAGTGCATTTACATTTCTTAAAATTCGTTGCCATTACTGCCGTAATCATCACGTGACTTGCGAGAATAAAGGTTCGGATACCTTTACATGACATGTGACCCATTGAATGCTATTTTTAATTGAAAACATGGCTTTGCAATTATGAATAACGGAGAATTTATTCACTAACAGACATTGTACCAAAAGCATGTTGGATTCATATTGTTTGGAGTGATGATTCATGAATTATTTTTTCTGTATTTATTTAAAATTGTACAGTACTAAAAAGAGTATATGGTCGGTTACTAAAAATAGATGCTAGAATTCCCAAAACATGAAGTCCCGCGAGATTTCATTTGAAAGCAGACTCCATATTGGTAAACAATCTCTACATATTTCCCTAACAAATAGTTGGGTAAACAATGTCATTGAAGTTTCATTAAAAAACTAGAAATGTGTCCATAGGACACGGATGCCCCCACACGCCACTGTTCTGTCAATCTTATGACTCTTGGTCAAATATTTTTTGGACTACATGTGCCACAAGTTGAAAACTAAAAATCAACAAAGGGCCATAATTCTGTTAAATTTATTCGCAGCAAAAATTCCTTCCTTTACTACCATCTACACATTAAGGTTGTTAATCCCTGTAAGTTTAAGCAAAATCTGCCATCCGGTTTAAGAGGAGTTGCGTTCACAAAATTTCTACATAGTATATAGTGAAAAAATCAACAAAGGGCCATAATTCTGTTAAATTTGGTCGCAGCAAAAATTCCTTCCTTTACTACCATCTACACATTAAGGTTGTTCATCCCTGTAAGTTTAAGCAAAATCTGCCATCCGGTTAAAGAGGAGTTGCGTTCACAAAATTTCTACATAGTATCAAGTGAAAAAATCAACAAAGGGCCATAATTCTGTTAAATTTGGTCGCAGCGAAAATTCCTTCCTTTACTACCATCTACACATTAAGGTTGTTCATCCCTGTAAGTTTAAACAAAATCTGCCATCCGGTTTAAGAGGAGTTGCGTTCACAAGATTTCGGGACGGACGGACGGACAAGTGCAACGCTATATGCTCCCACATTGTGGCGGCATAAAAAAACATGAATTGATTTAAAATTGATTTGTTTATCAAATGGTATTTTTATTTCACCTAGGGATTAAACGATGATCGAGTTTAATCGATAATTGATGGTTTATAGGACCGTTTAGCGATGATCGAATACAAAGTTCAATAATCGATCATCGGTTATTTATCTTCCTGCTGTTACTTAAGTGACTCACTGTATTATAACAACACTTTAAATTAAAGCCAGCTTTGGTTTACCCAATAATTTTCATTAAAATGAATGAGAAAGCATACTGGTGACCATGAGGTTAAAAGTTGTCAGTGAGGCATTCTAGTTTACAGACATACTATGCTCAAATTTGAAATTAGAAAATTGCTACACAGTCTATTTGTAAATATGAAATAAACATGTTAAATTGTTTTGACTTCAAACAAAGAAGATAAGTATAAAATTATTCTACACACTAAACTAAAGATGGTTACAATATAAATATATAGTGTCATTAAAAAAACCTGGCATTTTTATTAATGACCAACTTCTCTTGCTCCCATACATAGATATAATGAATTTATTTTATTAAAATATTTTACTCAAGGATGAACATAATGCCACAAATTATTCACGGATAATGCCACGGAAGAGCTATGGTCTAATCGTTCACGGATTACTACGGAAAAGTAAAAATCCGTAGTCTGCTACGGTTCCAGTACGGAAACACAATGGTATGAGTAAGGAGTTTGACGGATTTACCGCCAAAATGTGGGTAAAAGCCCCGGAGAGACACGGACCGACACGAATCAGGACGGACTAACTACGGATTCACTACGGTCTGCTACAGTATTAGCCCAGGTTAGTACGAATAAGTACGGTCTTACACGGAGAAGAACGAACCGCCACGGACCTATAATATCCGTCCACAACCTCTTGCATGCTCATTTTCAAAATGTATCACAAGAAAAATAAAACATATAGAAAACGAATTGCAGAGTTCAATGATTCTGGCGGAGAGGATTCGGCCTCATCGCGTCTGACCCCCTAGTCATATCAGGTCCGATTCTAGTGAAATTCTTGTAGGACCCCGGATCCTCAGCAACAAGTTCGGATATGAGAGCCGCTCATACTGGCCATGAAGGGGGCTTCGTAAAAGCTAATCTCTAGTCCACCAACTCCTCTGTCTGCTCTTACCTGATTAAATATGTAATTATTAATGAAGAATGTTAATCAATACTGCTTCTCTTTTGATTTTGAAATTGGCTTTTCATTTTAAAATTACATTAATTATCGCGAATGTTTATGTTTAAAGAATATGTAAAAAGCTTGTTAATTAATCTTATTATCACTTGAGGGCCAGCGTTCGAGGCTTATGAATCACTTCGTATTATGTAAATATTTTCTCCAATCACACGATCCAATGTTTTGTAAAATGTAACCTTAAATGTTATTCTATTACTTATGCATTGTAGTACGATATTTATTTTTTACAACTCTCTGCATGTCATCAAGCAGATCGACCACTGCCTCCGCATTCTGAGCCATTTCAATATACAGTTGCAGCCAGTTAATGGCACATATCTTTTATTGAATGTTCATGGTAATGTTCACAACATGAAAACGCAAATATGTCTGTTTTTAACAAGAAGGTAGTATCCATACACTTGAAAATGTGCATGATACTCAATTTATACGTACTAAACAGTGGTAGACAGTCGTACCATTCCCTACTGTTTCGTTTTTGTGCATGTTCAAAAATTGTCAAGGATCACTACAGATATACAAGGACTACTACAATTGATTACGGTTACAATACGGAGAGCTACAGACCAGTACAGGTAGCTACAGATGATGCCGGAATTAATCCGTGGCTCTTCCGTGGTCGTCTTCCGTGAATATGTGACCGGGGTATAAGCATGAGTAACTAGTTTATTTCAGTTTATTAAGTGGTAGTTACACAAAATATAGAATATTAATGGAATTCTTATAAATATTAAAGCATGATATGTGCATTGTTCATATTTACTTTGTTATCATAAATGTTTCGATTATATAATGGATGATTGATCGAAAAAGGTTGTTCGATTATTTTCGATGATCGATTATGATCTTTGTCCGTTTATTTAAAGAAACCCTAATTTCACCCCAAATTGATTAATAGTAGGCTTTTAAAATGCACTACATGCGAACAGCCAAAATTCTGGAACCCTTTGCAAATAGGGTTGACCCATAACTTTACTGTCGCACAACGTCAAAATAAAACAACATATACAGTAAAGTTATGTAAGCTAGAACTAACAAAAATGGTGACAAGTTGAACACAGGACGAGTGGACAAAGGGACCAGTTGACTCCTTATCAACACTTACCTTATAAATATAATAACAAACTAACCATGTTTTTGAAAAGCATACGATCTACTTGTTAGTTGGCAGACTTGTATACATTTGTTCCTTCTGCATAAGGCATATATATGCAGTAGGAACAAATAGATACACGTCTGCCAACTGACAAGAATATCATATGCTTTTTAATTATGTTCAAAAACATGGTTAGTTTGTAATTAAAGGGGACCACATTCACAACAATAAAAATAAACTGTTCTGAAACCGTATCACTGAAAATTTTAAAAGTTCACGACTGTTTAAAAATAAAAACAACACATCTTTGCATTAATCTGGGTCAGAAAATGTCCGAACATTTTACAGTAAATTTATAAATATACAAATGAATTTCATCAGCAGCGACCATTTTTTATACAGAGTAAACTCCATTAGAATGAATATGAGCAGAAAATCAGCAATACCTTGCGAAATAGATTTGATATACGCTTCCTAAATCTTGTCTAAACCTTGTTTACAAACATAGGGACACGTAATGATTTGGCAAGTGCCCGTACGAAAAGTATGGATCCTATGTTCAGCCTTGGGTTTTAGACTAAAGCCGAGTACCAATTTTAGGGCCTGTCTAAAACGCGGACGTCTTTGGCGTACAATATAAGCATATGAGGATAACGCTGCGTCGATATAGATATTGTATGATATATAGTGTAGAATGATTGATGATTAAACGGGAATTGGTTAAGTTTATAAAAATATTGACGTATAATTGACTTTTATAAGTTAATATTTTAAAATTATAAGTTTTATGTAAAACAAAGACAACAAGCGAAAATCAGTAAATATGAGAGATTATATTAATATTAGTCAAAATATATTGACGTGCCAAAGCTTGATTCTGAGATATTTTCGTTCTGGGGCAGAATCTCGCTTTAAATTTCACCACAGAAAAGGTACTTTTTATGTTGTACGTAGAGGCGAGATATTGCCCAGACACGAAAATAGCACAATATCTCGTCGCGCAGTACAATTAGTTGGACTAATATTAATATTTACCAAGGATCACACGAATCTCATCCATATCAAATATACACGAAGCAAATATAATTACATTACCAGATGTGACATATCTATATGTCATCCTCAGATACAAATGAAAATACTCTGTTAGTGAACCTGCATGTACAATGGTCATTCAAAGATGATATTCTCCATAAAGCACTAAGATAATTTCATATCACCGCCTTAAGTAGTATAAGACTGCATATATGGCCATTACCAGCTTTTAAGATTTAGCCTTTCCCGATATTCTATAAGGCCCAGGCAAAGACATCATCAACATCTTTTGCATGTAGGAACATAAGACGACTATCAGGTGGGGAGAGGGGGTCGTGGCCTAGTGGTTAAGGTGTTTGACTCTTCAAACCAATTGCCCCTCACCGACGTGGGTTCGAATCCCGACAGGGCAATTTGATTCTTTCCTGTGAGGAAGCTATCCAGCTAGCTTACGGAACGTCAGTGGTTCTACTCAGAGGCGAGTTCGTGCCTGAAATAATTTAATGCATGGAGGCGTTGTTAAGGTATTCCTCTACCATAAAGCTGGAAAATCGACATATGGCCTATATTATGCTGTGCGATATAAAATATAGCAAAAAAAAATAATAATAAAAAATTTAAAGGTCATCCGGTTACTGTACATCTTTGTACATAGAATTGTCAACTATTAACATTACTACGTACCCGTATAGTAAGATAATATACCGGGGCAAGTATTTGTGCTATCTATTACATTATAAAAATGTATACACTTTGAGAGGTTACTTTTTCTCAACGACGTTGGGAATGGTTCGACCTCGGTTTTCTTGCACCTATGTAAACAGAAAATCCTATCTCTGATATGCAAGTAAGCTAGGTTCTTCTGTGTCTGGTTTACAGTTTTCTGATCTCTTTCTGTCTCAAAGAAAAAATGTCTCATATTTATGACGTATTTTGATGTTTATACATGTACGGAGTTTATTATGTAACCGTTTTTATGTTAAAGGGACTCCACTGAGGTTTCAATGCCTAAAACAGATCATTTGAATTTCTTACATGAATGAGATGGGGCACTTTAAACAGAGATATATGCAAAGATAGAAAAAGTATATAGTTTGAAATGAATTAAAAATCTTCTTTTTATGTTTTTCATATCTCGATTTAAGTGAAAAGCGTTTAAACGCTTTTCATTTTGGGTCATTTTTTTACAATTTGAATAATTATTCTGGAAAAACGAAGTGCGCGAATGATTTGAAAAGTTGCACAAAGTTTAGTGGTCTAAACATACATCAAACGGTACATTTATCTGGAAAAAATATTTTCAGTACCATCATGTCAAAAAACCTCAGTGGAGTCCCTTTAATTAATAGGTGATTCTATTTGAATGTACATGATACACGTACAAGGAACGTTTCTTTTGTTTAAAAAAAAAAAAAAAAAAAAAAAAAAAACAATCGAATCCATTTATCTGTCTATATTAACAAGGATGACTAATACAGAAATCTTCTTCATGAAGTTCAAACAGATAAAAATTCGATTAGAAATATTTGTAAATATACATTTAGACGATATTCCTGATAAGGGTGACCTGTCGCATGATTTAAGACTATGAAACGGCAATATCTCAGATATTAATTTGTTTTACATTATATAACAGTTAAGCGTTTATTGTGACAAATCATAATCTAAGATAGATTTAGAATTAAACTAAGAAAAAGGGATAATTTTATGTTGAAAATTAAATCATATTTAACGAAACGTTTCATTATATGTTATTGTTCTGCATAGCTTTACGAAATTAAATTGAAATGAAAAGAAGAAGACGTAATCTCATTGAATTTATTTTGTTACAATGTTTGCTTTATCTGCTTATGCAACAGCATCACGTGACACAAGCTCGATGCAGTTGGGGATCGTGGTTGCCATGGAATTGCTCATGTTGTGGAAATTCTGATAATATACTTGTTTATAGAGTTAGAGCTAAGTGTTGTGATAATACATATGAATGTGTAAACGTAAGATATGCGGCTTTAAACATCACGGATGTAAATGATTTTGAAGAAGAAGGCAAATGTTTGGATGATTGTGGAAAGCTATTTTCTGACCACAATCCTCAAACTTGTGTTTCATCAAAGATGAATCTAGATGAAGTAAAAGGACCAAGCAAAATTAAATCGTGTAAATATTCGTGTGTGGGTAAGATTTTAGCAACATATGACATTGTTTGAAATAATTTTTAATTACAATATACTCGCACTCTATAAAGATATTCTCACAATACATGTATGTTAGGGAATTATTTTCGCGATAATGTAGTTTTCATAATCCCGTAAAAGTATTTTAATACATACTTAAACCTTGATACGGATAATAATTGTAATTTTATAATAAAATTGTTAGAACGGGAAGGGTTTCAGGTTCGGTTTTATAAAGCATCCATCATCGTTGTTATAAGAAAAGTCATGTTTAACATATCTAGATGAGATTTTTTTCCATTCCAAAACCCCTTAAAAGTAATTATTGTTAATTTTCTTAGAGTAGCTTTGTCATCAAAAGACATATATTATATTAGTCAAAAATATGATCTGAAAATATCATTAAAAATAAGTAAAATGAAATGAAATTCGTTTTCAAGATTTTTACATTTACTACATTTACTTCTTCGATTCTAGGTATTTCATTAAGTTTGATTTCATCTGACAAGAGACATTTTGTTTAATGCAACTTAAATTCAAATGCTTACTCAGTGTTTTCATAACCAACGTTTCAAAACGATGCAACTTTATAATAATATACCCTCTATAAAATAATTTTGATGAAATTTGATAGCATGGAAACTCATTTAAAAATTAAAGTTAGTCTTTTATGTTTAATCATAAACGTACGTTGATATGTTGTATTAAACAGAATATCAAGTGTGTGTTTCCGTTATGTGATAAGACCACGGATTTCAATCAACGAGTTTGGCTGATCTTTTAGTTTGACTATTTTATGCTAGCGGCAACAATGACTATTTTCCGGAAAAGTACCAGGTCTAATCTGATTAAGTTTTACATTGCTGGGTGATACATTTAACCATTTAGACTATCCCCAACATTTATAATGAAAAAGTTCCAATTCCATCTAAGTAGAACACCATGTAACAAATTAGTATTGTAAGTGTCAATATGTCAAGAGGTTAAATATAGATTTTAATTTGAATAACTAAATGTTGTCCAGTTTTATGAGTAAATTTTTCTCTCGTAAAAAAATCTTTTGATAAAAACACACTGTTTTAAGGAGTTTGGACAACAACAACGCCCGCCACGACACCAACATCGCCTTCAACTTCTTCAACTACTAACAGAAAGGCAACAACGACTCGTTTTTCAACTTCACGAGCCAGCGGCAACACTTTGACGACTGCCAAATCAACTCCTGAAGGATCAAGCACGGTATCTTCTAACTTCTCATCTAATGTGGAAAATGTCGCAGGTCCAAACGATACAAATTGTAAGTAGAATTGAAATGTTGTTTCTTATATATTCGTCATGTTAGTATTTAAAAGTTACTGTTTAGGTAAGACATCCTATATGCATCACTCTTTAAATGAATGACTATAAACTGTATGCTACATCAGTTCGTATGTTTATTTGCGACAAGTAGTTGTATATATATTTATTTTAATATGTATTTTACCCCAAATACAAATATATACAATTTAATATGTAAAAATTATAAGAATTGCAAGCAAAGTCAACAATTTATAATATATAATAATTTACACACGTTTTCATCATTATTCTATTTCACCATTTCAATTCATTATGGCATAAATTTAATCATCTCAGTTTGAATTTTGATTTAAATCTTTTATTTTACTTAAAACGATTTGAAACCTGGTATAATATATATATTAAATAGTGCTGAGTTGAAAAAAGTGGACGAGCTGACTAGTTAGTTCATGACCAACATTAGCGGACGTGTTGACCAAAACTAAGGCAAGTGACCACGGAACTAGTTGACCGCGGTACGAGTTGAACAGATATCATACTTTTATGTGTTTTGTTTCTATATCTGATAAATGGCAGTTTTGACCCGTAATGTCGTCAAAATTAAATTATTACGTAGGACTCGGTTTCAACGCAACAGTAACTCTTGAAAAAAACATATGATATTAATTCAGGGCTTCTTTCTTCTATAGAAGGGGCCGTTATAGGGCTTTAAAATCATGCCGTTATCCCCAAAAATTGAATTTACATAATTTTTTATTCGCCTTTTGCAAATATTACGTGTAATTATTCCCCAAAGTTAAGGACAGGGTTGCTTAAAAGGCCCGTATTATGCATTATGTATGTACAAAATTACACTTCCACGGTCTTATGATATTCACGAGGGGTCTTCAAATATGAATGCAACTGAGTCAATTTTCAGAAGCGCTTTACAAACAGTGCCAAAATAATTATCTCAATCCTTCAAAATACTCACCACAATGTGATATACAAAGTTTTAGTCTTTTGGTGCAATTTTTAAATGCGTTTTCATAATCATTTTGAGATATATACTCAACATCACTAATTCCGCGTCATCATTTATCTCACGGTAATGGCATATTTTCATGTGACCATTGTTATAATTGGCCAGAATTGACATATTTTATTCAAACACCTTAACAACAAAGTTTTTGTGCAAAATAATTTAAATCTATAGATTTTTACGTAAAACTGAACAACATTTTACAAACTTCTGCCAAAAACAACAATAGTCCATTAAATTTGTGCATACGTCTGAAACAATCATCATTTTCTAAATGTTCTTGTTTGTTGAAAAAATAAATTTTGAGTTACAATGTAAAAATACTTTTAATATTTAAAATTATGAGAAATAACTTAAAGAAATTTTAACTGAAACATTAAAAATCTGAAATAAAACACCATTACCGCGAGGTAAATGATGACATACTGTTTTCAAAATGGCCGACACACGGTTTACATCTGACCAATTAAAACTAATTTTGATTGAATATATTGTTGTTTCCTTGTGTCATATAGCAGAAAAATGACTAAATGATACAGTTTATGACAGTTTTTGTAGTGTAAGTTTATTGTTTGTGTTCTTTACTGTTTTAAAGTGTTAAGTACCGTGAACTAAGAGGAGCACAGTATACTGCTTAGACACAGGACAATAACTGAACCGAGATTTTTTTGCGTTTGATATTTTCTTCCAGCAACGTGTTTCTTGAGCCTCGGAAAAACTAGGAAAAAGTCACAAGAGACAAGATCTGGCGGGCGAATAAGGAGGGTGAGGAAGCTCGACAACATTTTTCTGTTTCAGATATTCTGGTACAATAGCCGCTTTTTGTGACAAAGTATAGTCGTGCAACAAACTGACACCACGGAGATCAGTTGCTGGTCGACGGTTTTTGAAATATTCCTTTAATTTTTGAAGAACCTTGCCTTTGTAAAATTTGGCATTTACAGATTTACACTTAAGTACGACAATTTGAATAGCAGGATCTTGATTGGTAAAGAAAATTTCATACATAACCTTTTTGATGCTCATGGTGCGTTTTGCTTTGCAAGGTCTTTGACTTCCTTTGGTTGCCCATATTTTTTATGTATCTTTCGCTCATAAAAAAGAACCCACGTCTTATCGCCACTGATGATATTTACGAAAGATCGATTGTTGTATTTAGGGAACTGTTTCAACAATTGTTTGGAGATTCCTACCCCAGTAAGTTTTTGCTCTTTTGTAAGATGAGGTATCAATCTGGTACTTATCCTTCTCATTTTTGAAATCACGTCTGAGAATTGTATGAGTGGCTCCTACAGAGATTCCAACGTATTTAACTATATATCTAGTTGTAAATCTTGCATCAGTAGCAATCAAATCCTTTTTTTCAACCATTATTGGCGAAGTTGCAGTGTTGGGATGGAGTGCATGAAGTGCATCTTTTACTGAATCCACACCACTTTTAAATTCCTTACACAGATGAACATGATAAAGTCGTTCATTGTTCCCATAAACACAACATATTTAAATATGTTTTTCGCCTTTCACCAAGACTACAGCAGTTCTTGATAAAGGACCGTATTTGATCAGTGAAAGGAGACCTTTTACCAACCATTTACATGTACATAGTGCGTGCAAACTTTGCTAAAAGCGAGGTATTGGCCTAATTGCATTCATATTTTAACACCCCTCGTAGTAAAGATAATAATCGATTTTCTCGTTCTGATTCAGTTTGGCTAGTTTTTTACTATTTATAGCAATAACTTATGATAACTGGCATTTACATTGCCATTTACTCAGTTTCAATAACAACTTAGCAAACCTTGAAATGTATTTGCATTACAAGAAGGGTCATATATTACCAATTGATGTTTGCAGCCGCCTGTACGATCATATTTGTGGTCACAACATTTGTTTTAACTCTGAAAACCTGAATGTTATATGAACAATATTAGCAATGATATGACAAACATATATAACATAATGAATCTAGCAGCTTTTATTGCCTTTACTTCCAATGATATTCATTTTCTGTCACTTTGCCAGTACAAAAAAAGATACAAGTACAAATAGATGTTTTGATTAAGACATGCAAACAAACGGTTCATATTTACTTACTTTAATAGCTCAAAATAGCAGTTTGTGAAAAACTCAAGTAATTGCTACGGCTTAATCATAACGTTTACATTTAATTTTCTGCTATTACATAATGTAGCTACGCTGAGTGAATGTTTTAAAACTATTTCTTCAAAAAGGTCATGCCGTTTTTGTGATGTGCAATCATGTTGGTTTCACTAATTTATACCTGTGCATGTATAGTGACTTAAATTATTTTTGCTATTGCGGCAGGAATGAATACATAATTTGAGCTTAGGATATCTAAAAACTACATCATTATAAGTGCAAACTTCATTAAAGATTATAAACACAATGCTTAATATCTAAATCAATAGAAATACAATGAGTGTGATAACAAGAAATGACATGCTTAAACTAAGGTAAATAAAGAAAGAAATATTTCGCTATCATCATGTCTATAAAAATTGTAAATTTACATTAATCATAGTTATAGGCATTTGTAACAAAATGGAAAGTGTTGAACTTAAAAACTTCCAAAATAAGTTTTTGTTTCACATTATCTACTACATTATACAAGTCCACGACTAACAGTTATGTATATTCTTTTTAAAAAGATTTTAAAAATTTTAGCCCCACCCATTCTCCCCAAAATAAACAACAAACAAACAAACAAATAAACAAACAAACATAGAAAAAGTTCTGATTTACGTTTGATTCATATTCTGATAAAGGATGAGAGTTTTAACATCCAATTTGGACTAAATTACCAAATCCTGTAAAAACCAGCATGTTAATATGCTCATTGCATAATAAATACATAAATGTAAAGTGTTATATAGGAAGACTTTCAGAAGTGTTTTATTGCTTTTATTACTAATGTTGTGTTCCCACCTACCCACTTCCAATGATTGCGAGAACTAAAAAAAAACAGCCGATCAAAACTCAACTAACAACAACATCTGAGAAAAAAAAAAGAACGACACTAATAGAAAAATCTTGTGCCAATCAACAAATTCATTTTAAGAAAACATTGCTTAATCATTGATGAAAAACTCTGCTTAATCATTGCATGGCAATTTCTGAGCCTTCATGTAATGCAAAATATTATAAGTGCTTAACGCATTATGTTAATAAGTTAGTAAGTTAATGACAGCTGTATAATTATAAGAAATGGCTCTCCTTTGTCTTTGTTTGTTTGTTAATTTTTATTTTTTGTATGCAAACCTCTAAAATAATCATTTCTTTTTTCACGGCTGTATTATTACATTTTTACTTACAGATGGGATAATTGGTGGAGTGATAGGCGGTCTCGTTGTAATGGCAATTTGTATAGGTATAGGTATACTAATCTGGTTAAAGATAAAGCAAACTAAGGAAAGACGACCATCTGAACTAGCAAGAACAAGATTTCGCCAGTAAATTATTGTATTAATGTGATAAAGATATTGAATTTTAACCAAACATGATTGCATCGCAACAGTGTATTTCAGTGTTCAATTGAAATTAAAGAATAGGCATGACCTGAATTACCACAGTAGGACAAAGTATGCACGCTTAAGTTTACATTATGTTTTAATTTTTAGGACAAAACTTTATCTGAAGTACATATCTTGTGTAGTTTGAACTGTCATTATTTCTTTCTTTCCAGGTATATACATATTGAATATTTCATCTCTCTAGCGTCTTATTCGTTATGTCTTGATTTCGGGTTTCCACGTTTCAGATTACATTTATTAGCGATGCGCAAAGGTGATTGCCCTAACGGAGCACCGTGGTTTTAACACATTTTTATCAACATATAGGAAAAGTTCTAACAATGAGTTCAATTGAATTAAAACAAACAGTAATCAAAATTTTCTCAATTAAATTGATGTGTAATAGTTACCGATTTTAATAAAAAGTACAATGTTTTAAACGTATTATGTACTGAAAATGAAATGAATAACACTTATTGGGTCAGTTACACAGTCTTTACTTTAAGAGATTATTGTTTAGACATATTCGTTTTATATTTACCTATATTTGTGAATAAAGTTTGCAAACGAAAGGTTATTTATGAATAATTACAAAGATATGCTTTCCCCCGAGTTGTGTTTTCATAGTTTTATAAAGTAATAAAAAAATCAGTATAAAGAAGTGACCTGCATGTATTATCAACAAAATGAGTTAGTGTTTTGTAATAATACTAATGTACAATAATCAACTTCTTGAAATGTTAATTTAGAATAGATTGGTCACGGTTAAAATTAAAAACATAATACATAAATATTTCTTTGTATTCATTTTCAACATTATACATGTATACAGGTTTTTAACAAAAATACAGGAAAACAAGTACACTGCATTAAACAACCAAATTCTTTGCAATACATGTAGATCTTTACTTAAACTCGTCAAACAGAAATCAAATTTTAAGTATGATACCCGTATTACCGTTTACCAGTGTCCACTATCTGAAATATATCAAGTCAACTGATAATGTTTGCAATCTAGTAACATGTTATGGTCAAGTTCTACCTGATGGCTTTTTTCAATGTAAGATGTTTAAGGTATACAAAACAACAACCTGGTGCATCGAAGCATTTAACAGTTCACGTGATGGTTCTTTATCAGTTCGAAATATATCACCATGCCCGTCACCGAACAATACACAGTCAAGTGTACAATTGAGAAGACAAATGAAAGTGCAAAGGTACTGAAAGACTCTTTGTTCTATTTTTTTTATAATATAACATCTCCGGGTATTACTTAAGTCTCAAGTATGATTACCAAACTTTTTATACAGTACATATTTAACATTAAACATATGAAAATAAGCGCGGATTTACTGTGGAACTAGACAATTCATCAGAACAATAAACTGTATACGAATAATGAGCAGTCTAAATTGTTCAAAGTGTTACACAAATGAGAAAAATATTGGTGAATGTACCATGGAACGTGGGATATGTGTGTTGTTGTATAAATTCAGTTATGTACTTTTTTAAATGACCATTAGATCTCAATCAAAATCTTACCTATATAACTGTTATCATGTATCAGATATTGCATATTAACAAGATGGAGTGAAACAAACTCTTTACCTAGATCAATTCCTGAATTTTGACGCTGTATATAAAGAAAAACAAAAATGTTTTAGTTACTGCAAATGTCCAATGTCAGTCTTGTTGGTCACATGTAAATCTTACTGTTCCAATGTCAGTTTACTGGTTCAGTGTCAATCTGAGTGGCACAAGGTCAGTCTTACTAATCAAGTGTCAACCTTTTTGGTCTAATGTCAGTCTAATTGTTGAATGACAATATAAATAGTCCAATGTAAATATTACTGTTCTTATATCAATATTGTTACCGTTGTCACTGTTGAAATGATTTTGTCAGGATCACTTTTAAGGCTACTGAAGTTAAATGGTACGGTAATTTACCATAAAACTTAACCAATGAAAAAGAATATAAACACTTGAAAATACCAAAACGCTCAAGTACAGTTAATCTTATTTATTAAGATCTTCTGTTAAATAAATGCATAAAACAGGATAATTAAATACTGTAAAACAGGTAAATTATTGCCCTTGGTATAGTTATTGTAGATCTAATGAGTTCGTCAATGTAAAGTTGTTAAAGAAGGGGTTATATGAACGTGTTTCGCGTAAATTACAGTTAAAGTCTTCTAGCGAATATTTATTTAGCGGAATGTTCAAGTTTTGACGGATTTCCGTTGTTTGGCGGATTTTTAGTAAGGGGGTTGAGCTACTGTTCAAATAATAACCTTGTTAGTCCGTGTTTCACGGTTGGAAAAGCTGCTCAACTGAATTGAGCGTCTGTATTTATAGACTTTGGCGTGTTAATTCCGAAATGAAATTTGCCCGCCGCTAAGACATTCAAAAGTACTTTTATCCAATAAGATTCGACAACGGAATTAGTTAACCAATCACAGCGTTCCGCTAAACGTAGCACACTCATGGCTCATACGCCGTCAGACAAAATAGATTCGCCAAGGATCCGCTAAAATGTTATTATTCTCTTATAGAATAATAAAGACATAAAATATCGGCAGATTTTTATATAATAGTCACTCTTTTTCCAAAATATGATTATGGTAGTTTCGTTGCATTACAGTACTTTCTCGGAATTTGGCCGGATATGGAACTTATTTCCGCTGAATCCGTCAGCTAGAAAATGTAAATAATACACATCTTTGTGTTCTAGTGACACTTTTAGTGTCTACTTTCTGCATCAATTGTAATGGAATAATAGTTCAGGTATATTTCTACATATCTGATCGTTATTATTGTTATTCTTTGGTCAGTTGAGTATCTACGCTCAATTGTCAGGTTATTTCGCGACCCGGATCATGTTCACAAAGTTCTGAACGATATTTCAATGTTTCTTTAACTCGAATCATTGAATACTTATACTGTTTACTGTTAGATATATAGTTGATAAACAACCACACAAATCACGGAAATGACAGAGCATATTTCAAGTAAAGGAAGGTAATATCTCATCACACTGTTAAAATGTTTACATGTCTATCCATAACACTTCCCCTCCTTATTTAAAAGAATATCCTCCTGGATAATGTTTCTAATGAAAATGTTTTTACACATGTCATACCAAGGGCTACGAAATTTAAATTAAATTATTTATAAACAATATCAACAAACAATATTTGAGAACACCAATGCATTATTTTTCAAAAATCTGTCAATAAAAATATCTCTTATAGTTTATGCTCTAGGTTATTTTAAGTTTTCTATTAAAGTCACACAACTGTCACATGTATTTTCTTTCTTTAAAAGATATTTTGTGCACTATGAAATAAGTAAAACATTAAGATTAACAACAAAAACATTTAAAATGACACAATGTACATGTAGTACACATCATGCAACACATGACTGTGTAATTAATGTTTTTCACTTTTCACACATTATAACTGGATTAAATAACACTTTATTTTGTCTATGGCCAGTCATTTAAGTTGTTTTCTAAAGTCATTCACATTATCATTCATCATATTTTGTCGCTTCACTTATTCACATATAACTGATTATAACCATCTCACTTCGCTAAATCACTTTTATTTCAATATAACCATCTGACTTCACTAAATCACTTTTATTTCAATATAACCATCTGACTTCACTTAATCACTTTTATCTCAATATAACCATCTGACTTCACTTAATCACTTTTATCTCAATATAACCATCTGGCTTCACTTAATCACTTTTATCTCAATATAACCATCTGACTTCACTGAATCACTTTTATCTCAATATAACCATCTGACTTCACTTATGACACTTGTCACACACATAACATTTGCCACACGCTTCACAATGTACATGTATTAAATAGCTTTAGAATGAATTTTATAAATCTCATAACATTACTCATCACAAAATACAAAACATGTAGAATTTTCACTTCAACAATGATTTTTGTATACATTTAATTAATTTCACTCTGTTAATCACTGTTTTGGGAACTGACTACTTCCTTCTTTATCCACATGGGGATATTCTTACCCGAATATGGCCACAATCTGTCAATGTGATAGGCTTTTGCTTTTTGTTTGCTGAACGTTTAACACAACATATCAAATCATCAAGAACACTTGTAATTATGTAGGGACCTTTCCATTTATTGATCAATTTTGAACATATTTCCCTTCTTTCTTGTTGGGTCATGTAGCCATACTAATTGACCTTTATGATATCGTCTTTGTTTGGCATTTGTATCATAATGTCTCTTTTGGTAATTTGCGACACGACCAATATTTTGTTGTGCAAATTGGTGAATATGACTTATTTTATGTTTCAGCATATCGGTATAACTGTCACTATCATATTGATCTGTGTTTTGTTCAGGGATTCCCACTACTGCATTTAAAGGGTAGTGTTACTTCACGACCAAATAACATTTTATTTGGTGATACTTTAGTTGAGCTGTGCTCAGAACTTCGGTAGGCCATCATCACCAATGGTAGATAATCATCCCAACTTGACTGATCTTTCGAACAGTATGCGGTTAACATGGATAGTATTGTACGGTTACTTCTTTCTATAAGGCCATTGGCTTGTGGTCTTAGACTTGTCGTACGCGTCTTTTCTATACCAAGGAAATCGCAAAGCTCCATTATCAATTGCGACTCAAAGTTTCTGCCTTGATCTGTGTACAATTGTAGTGGTACACCAAACCTTACAACAAAATTATTTACAAATGCTTCAGCAACAGTTCTAGCATCCTGGTTTGGTATTGGGACACTTTCGGTCCATTTTGTGAACCAGTCTGCAATTACTAATATATATTTGTTTCCATTTTTAGAAACCGGAAGTGGACCCAAAATATCCATGGCAACCCTTTCCATAGGCATGCCTACAATATACTGTCCTAATGGTGCTTTATTATTTTCTTTTGACAATTTTCGTGCTGTGCATGTATCACAGGCCTTACAATACAGCTTAATACTATCTGCAACACCAGGCCAGTAGAAACCTTGTCTGACCTTATATAATGTCTTTTCAAACCCAAGATGTCCAGATGTTGGAATATCATGACTGAAATTAATCACATCTTTCTGCCTCGATTTAGGTACAACAAGCTGCCAACCGACTAAACCAGATTCGTCTACATATTTTCGATATAGCATTTGACCGCGAACATTCAATCGGTCCCACTGACGCCAAAGAGTCTTCAGGAATGATGTGCCGCTAGACACTGTGGACCAACTTGGTCTCGATTCATTTTCCAATTTAGCGGAAAATAATGGACCAATATCAGAATCGGACATTTGTTCGATCTTTATTTCTAAGGCGCTCCAACCATCAAGGTTAATTTGATGGGGTAGTATGTCATTGTCAATGGCTTTTGCAACGTCTTGCCGAGTTGTAACTCTTGATACTTTCTCACTTGGTTTCTCTATATCTTCATCATTATTTTTATTTTCAGCTGTTTCTGTTACATGTTCTTCATTTATTTGCTGCTGTCTGGCACAATTTCTGCAAGGGATTCGCGATAATGTGTCTGCATTACTATGACATTTACCTGGTCTGTGTACCACCACTAGATTATAAGTGCCTAACTCTTGTAACCAACGCGCGGTTTGACCTGTTGGAGCCTTTAGACTACGCATCCAACTTACAGCAGAATTATCAGTTCTAAGTAGGACTTCTTGACCATACAAGTATGAATGAAAATTTTTCAGTGCTACAATCACAGCAAGTAACTCTTTTCTTGTTATACAGTATTGTTGCTCGTGTTTATTCATGGCTTTACTCATGTAAGCAATTACACGTTCTTTACCGTCTTGTTCTTGTG